TCCGCGTGTTGTGGCTAATCCCCCTCCCAGATCCCCACGGTGCTCTACTACGACCAGTACCAAAAGGTTGTAGGATGGGGACCTGACATTGCTGATGCCCTGGCTCCGACCGGCTACCCCAAGCCGGGTGTGCAAAAGGTCGAGTGGTTTAAGTTGCAACTGATGCTGTCCGGAAACACATACATAGACCCCATCAACCTCCCACCGCTACCTCCGGGCAAGTCTGAGATCGATGTGGCCGCCGACTACCTCTTCCACCTGCGGCAGGCGATGCGCAACCAGCTGCAAAAGACGCTGGGTGAGGTCTTCAACCGCGAGGAGCGCAACATCAGATACTACCTGACAGTACCCGCCATCTGGAACGATGCTGGCAAGGCTGCAACACGTGCCGCTGCCATCCAAGCTGGATTCCTCCGCGACGAAAACGACAACAGGCTGACACTCATTACCGAGCCCGAGGCTGCCGCCATGTTTTGTTCAAAGACTGGTCTTCTGAACCTCAAGATACACGACGCCGTGCTCATCGTCGACTGCGGTGGTGGTACCGTCGATCTAATCGCCTACGAAGTCGAAGAGGAACAGCCCTTTTCCGTCGCAGAGTGCACAGCAGGATCCGGTGACTCATGCGGATCTACCGCGCTCAACCGCAACTTTAGCAACATTCTCCGAGCCAAGATCAGAAAGATGAAACTTCCTGACGGCTCAAAGACGGCCGGCAAGGTCTACGCAAAGTGCATCATGGACTTTGAGAACCGGATAAAGGCCGACTTCCGTAACAACGGGCAAAAGTGGGCTGTCGACGTTGGCATCGAGGCTGAGTTTCCCGAGGCGGGAATCGAAGAAGGCTACATGACATTTACCAACGAGGAGATTCTACAGTGTTTCGAGCCCGTGGTGAACCGCATCTTGGAGCTAGTCAGGAATCAAATCATAGCCATTCAAGCACAAAACAGGGCATTACAGGTAAGCACCTCTATATCGATCAAGTAGAGCTCGAATGTTAATGCTAACCAAACACAGAACGTCCTAGTCGTCGGCGGATTCGGCGCCTCAGAATACCTCTTCCAACAAATCAAACTCCACGTGCCCCCACAATTCCAATCCAAAGTCGTCCGACCCATGGACTCAGTCGCGGCCATTGTCAAAGGCGCAGTCACAGCAGGCATCACGGAGCGCATCGTCACGCACCGTGTGGCACGCAGACATTACCTCATGGCCACACTGCAGCCCTTTAAAGAGGGCCACCACCCAGAACAATACCGCGTCCCCTCGCTCGACGGCAAAGACCGCTGCAAATACACACGCCAGATATTTGTGCAAAAGGGCCAGCGCGTCAAGATTGGCGAACCGGTTAAAGTATCATTTTTTAGACAGGTTGCCCCCGGTGCTACGCTCATGTATGAGGATATTCTTTATGCGTGTGATGATGATGTTTGTCCCGAGTATACGAAGGATCCTCGTAAGTTCATCTACTCCTTTTTTTTGAGTTGTGGTGTGTGCTAATATGAATGCGCAGGTATCAAGGAAGTCGTAACACTAACATCGGACCTGTCGCGCAAAAATCTCGAAAAGGACTTTGAACGCATGGATACGCCGCAGGGCACGTTTTATCGTGTTTACTTTGACATCTATCTCACGCTTGATGGGTCAGAGTTTAATGCTGAGTTGGTGTGTCAGGGTGAGGTTATGGGTCGTTGTACGGCGAGATTTAGGTAGAAGTGCGTGACACGACACGACGGCTTGGAGAGAAGTGTTGTATGTGGGTCTGTCCAAGGGCTTTTGGACCAACATGACTGTTCTTGTCGTGGTTGCTACACGATGATATCCTTTTTTACTGAGGGGAGGGAGGGCATAATGGGGTTGGGTTTGCTTTCTAACGATTTTTTTTCGCACGTGGAAAAAAGTTTCTAGGTAGGGGAGGGGCCTGAGGCTTAGAGCTCAAAGCTTAGGGTCGGGCTTAAGGGTTTCTTAGAGCGAATGGATTGCGAGAGAGAGAGAGAGAGAGACGGAATCATACATATATACTACTACTGGTATTTTTACCACCTCCCCACCCCACGCTTTGGATAAAGAAGAGAGAGAGAGAGAGAGAGAGCGTATCAAGGGGGGAGATGGGAGATTTGGTAGCGGCGGAGACTGGTTTTTTTCTTTTCTTCCTTCTTTTCTTGACTTGACGAGTAAGAGTAAGATGTAGTTTTGATAACATCATACTCCCCCTCCTTTAGTAAAACGGTTAATAAAGTATTTGAATATCTTCTTATTAGTGCATCCACTTCACCTCACTTACATACTTCAACAATGGCAAAGTCAAGTTAAGTCAAGTTATACATACAGCATGTAACTATCTATATCCGCCACGTTTTTTTATCCTGCTTCAACCCTCCCTCCTTTCCCTCCCCACATCCCTTCTCCTCCCTTTCCCACGGCTTCACTACATTCACTCATATATTCATATTCCCTTTCAATTCCGAAGATTGAAGATTTACAAAAAGTTCAAGTTAAATTTTTTCCCTTCTTTACCCCAGCTCTTGGGATATTTTGCTGATCTCACTAAAGCTTAAAATAGATCAAGTGTTCCACTCATATTTCACTCAAGTATCCTCTCACACTTCCCTGTCTTCTTATCCGCTGTAATCCCATGACCCTCGCGGACAAGATTGAAGAGAAAGAGATCAACGCCAACGCTCTTAAATGCAAAAAAATGTTTAGAGTTGTGGATATCACGACCGTAAACTACCCAGCCTTAGCCCAGACCAACTCATCCATCCATCCATCATCAAACACGACCCGGAACCCCAACAGCAGGAGAATGCGACTTTTGCTTGCTGGACGCATCTGGTCTAGAATCTTTATCTGTATTCTTCATTCTAGCCAAAAGAACATGCAGAGTCTTCTTTTCCCTGCCGTCGTTGTCCAGCACGTGAATGAGGTCGCGGAGTTGGATACCAGCGCCCGTGTCAGTCCGTTCAATGGCCTCGCCGAATTTGCGCTTGCGGCCCATGAGCGCCTTGTCCGGGGCTTGCACGGTGGGAGTAGTGGTGCCGCTGGGTGCTGCTGTGGCTGTGGGACGGGGAGTTGAGGCACCGGATGCTACACCTGATGCTGCGCCGCCTCCGCCTCCGCCTCCGCCGCCGCCGCCAGTCATCCAGGAGTATTTCTTCTTCTTGCCGCCGAGGGCCATGCTGGCGGTTTCGTTTGCTTTGCCGAAGACGACCACGTCGGATTGGCTTTGCTTTTTTGCTGCTGCGAGCGCTTTCTTGGTTACGGGTTCGGGGAGGGGTATCGGTATGGCGGGGGTATCTGCTGGTGTTGCTGATGCGCCTGCTTGGCGTTGGGTGCGTTTGCGGAGGCGCTCTTGCTCCCACTTGTAGTCGTCGTTTACACGCTTTACGAGGGCTGTGACGACGCGGTTGGGGTTCTGGTACGTCCTTTGTGGTGTGGGGGGCGCTTCGCTTGGGGGTGTTGGTAGGCGTGCTGCATTTGGGAGACCTGGGCATGTTAGCGGTTATGTGAAGGGTAGCAAAGGCAGACCGACCCTTGCTTGCTGTAGTCGTGGGGCTGACAGCACTGTCGGGCGCTTCCCACGGTGTCTTCAAGATGTTGACGGGCGGAGCCATCTTCTCTTGAGCATCCCGCTCTACAACTGCGATATCGACCAGTTGAGGTGGGATGAGGCCATGTGAAGTGTTCTGCCGGCCTTGACATAGAGCAAACGCGTCCTCCACAACGGTCCGCACGCGCTCTTCAGCAGCTAGCGATATTAAGGTAAGGATCTCCACGAGCGGAGCATTCTGGTTAAGTAAGCTTGCTGCCTCCAATCCGATAATCTGCTCGCCGTCTGAGCCGGCTCGAGTGGTGCGCTTAATCTCCTGCTGGCCCTTGTCCGGTATCTTATCGAACAAGCCATCCACATTGATGGAAATGCCGTGGTCGTACCCGCGCTTCGCAATCCTATGTCTGAGCACACTTGCAGACAAGAAAGGGTCGTTTAGAGGTTGCTGTGCCGACTCGTTCAGAATACGAGCCGCTTGTTCATGCTTCCTGATGAACTCTGCCTGTTGCTGCTCTTCCGTCATCTCCTGACTGAGCGCGCCCGTTCCTTGGTATGCGCCATGGCCAGATTGCTGACCCCAATTGTTAAAACTGTTATTCGCAGACGCTGTAGATCCTGTGGCCTGCGAGTTGAAGCTCCTGTAGTTGTGCAGCAAGTTGTCCTCCTCGGCGCGTAAATCAATTCCGGATCCAGTAAGTACATCGCTGATGTTGTTAACGTCCAGGTCGCGCGCATTCGCCTTTTCTAATTCGGAGCTGTCTCCAGTCTTGCTATACGGGAGCTTGGGTGGGGGCATAGAGCTCTGCGGCGCCGGTTGTGGTGCATTGGGATGCTGGTAAGGCTGCGGCTGGTGGAACGGCGGGGGGTGCATAGCGGCAGGTGAGGTCGGTAGGGAATTATAGCCGGGCGTCTGGGGAGATGTGGTATATGGTGAAGGAGGGTAGGTCGGCGCGTTAGGAATCGCAAATGGGGATTGGTAAGGCGCGGGCGATGGCGGGTTGGGCGACAGTCGCTGCCGCTTGTTCGGAGGGATGCCGCTTCCCATGGTTGGAGATATGACTGGTGGTGAGTGCTGGTAGTTTTGCGGTGAGAAGGTGCGCTGTTGTTGGTGGTGGTGAAGATTCTGAGTCTGCACTGGCGGTGGTGGCTGCTGCTGGCCATGCGGCGGGTACTGGTTCTGGTTGTAGGCCATAGTAGGCAGCCCGTCCCCTACGGGGAGTTGCGCAGGCGGAAATCGTCTATATGCGTGTCATACGGGAGCAGTAAAGGTCCAGGCTGATGGCGATGGCGATTTTACGTGTTGATCGGGCAGGCGCGGTGGTGATTCGGAAGGCGCGTCGTCTGGCATGTCTCGGTGGAAAGAGCGACCAGGTTCAGTATAGAATGCACGACTATGCACGGGCCCCAACGCGAGCCTTGGCATACGCGCGAGACAAAGGCGAACCGTAACGGCCTTTGGACAATCACTTCGCCCTCACTCGACGCTGCCGCCAATTTATTTCCACCCTCCGTCACCGCAGATTAAGGTGTCGATTAGTGCTGCGAAGCTGTTTCCTAGGAAATTAATCTGCATTATACCAGTCCTCGTAGTCACTCGACGCGTCACCCATATAGCTCGTAATTATGGCGGCAAAGAGGAAGGCAGCGTCCATGGCGCCCGAGGACGACGACCCCATAGATCCATCTGATGAGCTCATGTTTCTTTGCCTTGGCGGTGGTAACGAAGTCGGCCGCTCATGTCACATCATCCAGTACAAGGGCAAGACGGTCATGGTGCGCATACGATCCGCATCTCATGCGCCAACTATGCTAATACGAGACAGCTCGATGCCGGTATGCATCCTGCGCACGAAGGCTTGTCCGCCATGCCCTTTTACGACGACTTCGATCTCAGCACTGTAGATGTGCTACTAATATCACAGTATGTATACGCGTGTCCTGCTTGTCATGGTAGTTGGGGTTTGGCGCATCACTGGAGTCGGAACATGAGCGCGCAAAGGGCACTCGCACTTCAGCGACTTGTATATCACTATCAATGGAATTATATTTGCATCCTCCCCTTCGACTTCGATGATGTGCCATTCCTCGGTTCCCACGCACCCATCTACCACTTTGGTCTCTTTAGATTGTCCTTGTATTCGAGCAATCGTCCAGTGTGCTAACAATAGCTAGTTTTCACGTCGACCATGCCGCTTCTCTGCCCTACGTGCTTGCTAAGACGAACTTCAAGGGCCGCGTCTTCATGACACATCCCACCAAGGCCATCTACAAGTGGCTTATCCAAGACTCTGTCCGCGTGGGCAACATGTCAAGCAATTCCGAGACCAAGATACAAATGTACACTGAAGCCGACCATCTCAACACCTACCCGATGATTGAGTCCATCGACTTTTATACTACACACACTGTAGCTGGTGTCCGGATTACACCATATCCCGCAGGCCACGTATTAGGAGCAGCCATGTTCCTGATGGAGATTGCAGGTCTGAAGATATTGTTCACTGGAGACTACTCGCGAGAGGATGACCGACATTTGGTATCGGCCTCTGTACCAGCTGGCGTCAAGGTTGATGTGCTCATCACCGAGTCAACCTTTGGTATTTCAATGCACACGCCGCGTGTTGAGCGAGAAGCACAGCTTATGAAGGCAATCACCGACGTTCTCAACCGCGGTGGCCGAGCTCTTCTCCCAGTTTTCGCTCTAGGCCGAGCTCAAGAGCTGTTGCTTATCCTGGATGAATATTGGAGCAAGCATCCAGAGGTCCAAAAGATACCCATCTACTACAACTCCAGCTTAGCCCGGAAGTGTATGCAAGTCTACCAAACCTACGTCTCCGCCATGAACGACAACATCAAGCGTCTGTTCGCTGAGCGGATGGCTGAAGCGGAGGCTGCAGGAGACACTGGACGACGTGGAGCTTGGGACTTTAAGTTTGTGAGGTCACTCAAGAGTCTTGAACGTTTTGATGACTTGGGAGGTTGTGTCATGCTTGCTTCGCCTGGTATGATGCAATCTGGTACTTCTCGTGAGCTGCTTGAGAGATGGGCACCCGATCCAAGGAACGGTGTCATCATTACCGGTTATTCCGTCGAAGGCACAATGGCGAAGCAAATCGTTCACGAGCCAGATCAAATTCCTGCAATTATGACGCGAGCCAGCAACACAGCACGACGTCCAGGTCAGCGAGAAAACGAACAAACCATGATACCCCGTCGATGCACAGTCCAAGAATACAGCTTTGCAGCTCACGTTGACGGAAAGGAAAATATGGAGTTTGTGCAAGAGGTAGCAGCACCAGTTGTCGTAAGTTGCCTTTACCTTTACTTTGCCTGGAAGATTGTACTAACGCCATTTCTAGATCCTTGTTCATGGTGAGAAAGGTAACATGACGCGTCTCAAATCCAAACTTCTCTCTTTCAACGCTCAAAAGGCCATTCCCACAAAGATCTACTCCCCTGCAAACTGCGAAGAGCTCCGCATCCCCTTCAAGACCGATAAGATCGCCAAGGTAGTGGGAAAACTAGCCTCCATCGCACCGCCTTTACCACGCTCCCTGACTCCCGGTGGCAGTGAAATAGACCAAAAGGGAGGCAAGGGAGACGAAAGTGAGAGGGTAGATTTGATTAGCGGAGTGTTGATCCAGAACGACTTCAAGATCAGTCTGATGGCGCCAGAAGATCTGAAAGAATACGCTGGCTTGACCACAACAACCATTCTCTGCAGGCAACATCTCACCCTCAGTGCCGCAGGCATCGACCTGATACGATGGGCGCTCGAGGGCACATTCGGCGCCATCAAAGAGTCCAGTCTCACCGACGCCGCAGTCAACGGCAAGATGAACGGCGCGGAAAACGGCCACAAGGAAGAAGAAGCCGACGAAGAAGTCAACAGAACACAAACCAAATTCACAATCATGGACTGCGTCAGCGTCTTGGTGAAAAACGGCGGCCGCGTAGAAGTCGAGTGGGAGGGAAATGTCATCAACGATGGAATCGCAGATGCCGTTCTCGCCGTCTTGTTTACTGTTGAATCTTCTCCTGCGGCCGTACGACGTAAGTACCCCGAACTCCGTGCCTACATAACCCCCTCCCAAAGAAAGACATGAAATTAACGAACAAACAGAATCCTCAAAACAACACTCACACAGCCACCACACCGACGACAAAAATAGCAACGACGACTCCATCAACCTAACCCACCGCTTCAAAACCCCTCACCCCCATCACACCCCCGACCCTTCCACTCGCCTTGCCCGCCTCTTCCTCTTCCTCGAAGCCCAATTCGGCGAAGAAGCCGTCCGCCCCATCACCCTGCCGCGCAACAGTACCACAACCGCGACCGCAAACGGGACGCCCGCAGCCGCTCCCTCACCACCCCCCTCCGACACAAAGTTCCTCAGCAGCGTCGCCGGCCTACCCCTGTCCAACGACGGCGACGACATGCCAGACGTAGACGACCAATTGTCAGCACAGGACAGAGCAGAGTTGAAGCGGTTGCATCATTTGGGGATACCGGTTCCGGGGGTGGAAATCAAGTTTGATCGGTTTGTCGCCAAGGTTTGGTTGGAGGATCTGGAGGTCGAGTGTGCGAATAATGCGTTGAGGGCGAGGGTTAAGGCTGTTGTTGAGAGGGGGGTTGAGACGGTTAGTGGACTTTGGGTTTGAGTGTGGGTTTGAGGGGAGGGGAGGTGGGAGGTGGGAGGGCAGGTCGGGTTTAGGACACAGCACGCGCGTAAGTGGAGACTTTGGTGTAGTGTGTGGATTGGAGGATGTGGGAAAACAGATTATGGTATTTCCTTTCCTTTTCCGCCTAGTCATACAAAAATTAGATAACCAGGTTTAAGATGTATCTCCCCCTATCATATCCCACCTCCCCCCCTTCTTTTCTTCCCATCCATCAAATACATCCCCAAACCCCCCACCGTCCCCTAGCCTCGCCCCTATCCGGCCTCTTCTTCCTATTCTCCCTAGCCTCACCCCTATTCGTCCTCTCCATTTCCACATCCACCGCCCTCCTCTCGTCTTCCATCTGCCTCTTCTTCGTATCTTGCTGCATTTTGGCTTGGATTCGTTCTGTGGCTTCGTCCGAGGGGTAGGTGTGGATGTGCAGGAAGCGTGTTATGCGCGCGAGAAGGGGGGGGTTAATGAGGGGCATGTTGTTGGATGGGGTTTGTGTGTTGGTGGTTTTGGATGGGGTTTATTTGTCGGGTAGTTTTGTTAAGTTTTATGGTTGGGTTGGTGATGTTGGTTGTTGGCTGTTGGTAGTTGTGTAGTTGAGTTTTGTGTGTTGGTGTTGGAGTTGTGGAGTTGTGGAGTGTGAAGTGTAAAAGTTGGATTGTTGATTCGCACGTGAGTTGGATATTTGTTTGCTTGATTGATTTGCGAACAACTCGGGCTTTCTGTGAGATAAGATTCGGGATTAGGTGTAGGGAAATGTAAAATTAATATAATTCTAGTGTAAGAGTAGATAGGGTGGTGAACCATGGTTTGCGCACTTGGTTCGCTGCGATGAGCCTGCTACCACATAATTCACTACCACACAAGCGCATCCGCCCTTTAAGTGCCCTTGGCCCTTTGGTTCACTAAATCGTCTTTTGGCTAACCTCTGACTTAATTATTGCATCCTAAACCCACAGATTTTCTATCGTCGTTACCACGCATATCTCATCATCTTCGCATGGCATCCCACCTTCTCTTGCCTATGTACTCACTGGTCGGCTCCAAAAAAAACAGAACCACGGAACATCTAGAGCTAACGAACACATTGTCGCATTTCCTGCGAAGATATTCTGGGGTTCAGACATGATCCATTTTAATGAGTCTTGTCGCGAAATGCTCCATACTAGCAGAGAAAAGCATGTGTTATGTAGGCCTACGATTGACAATGGCCATGGACAGCAAAACTTGACTTGCTTGCTTCACATGCCGCACACTTCAAAGTCTCGCCTGCATGTTTCTGGTGTGAAGGCTGGCGGTTGAGACAAGTGGCATGGGGACTTTGTATATCTCAGGTTGCGCGTTGCTAAAACTCATTAACATGATATTTCTGAACTTACCATTAGTATGACCGCACTAATGAACAACATAATCGATTCGAGTGACAAAAGCAGGACTTTACGAGGATATGCAGTTCCCAGGGGGTTACACAGGCGCAGTGAAGAGCTGGATGATGCCGTTCATGATGACGAAGCGGATTTCGATGAGCGGTTTAGCTGGGAGAAGAGCTCGATGGAGTTTGAGCCAGGCACCGAGGATCTTGATACTGGGGTGGAGGATAGCAGGGCATGGCTTGAAGAGTTAGCTGTAAAGGAGGAAAGGAAAGGTTCGCTCTTGATTGCTGATATGGGGAAGTGGGCGTGCGAAACATATCAAAGAGAGATCCTACAAATGCGGACCGTCAAACCAGGCATGAATACCACTATTCTCGACCAGATCCGCAAGGGCGAGTATCCTCATGAGAAGAAGGTTGAAGATCTGCTCGCTCCGCTACGAGTACAGGAACTACCACCCGGGACAGAAGAGTCGCAGAAAGATATGATTAAAGTCACGCTTGACTGGAACAAGCGCGTTTCCAGACAAGAGGAAAACGCTGAAGCGCGACAGGATTTCATCGCTGCCTTGAAGGAGAGGACAAAGGCTGTTGACAAGGTCCTCGCTATTGTAGGAGACGAAACCAACATTGACCAGTTCGACAGGGTAGGTCAAAGCGGCATTCTTGAGCCTTCTCAATGCGGACTCTTAAGAGCCATCCATGTGTACCGCCCGGAAACCAGAACATTCAAGCACCAGAATCCGTTCGACATGTTGCTCCTCATGTGGGCGCATCTACAGAATCCAGACCTTACTGTTGAGGATGACTGGATTTATCTGTCGTACAAGGTCTTAAATGGAGAGGAAGAGCTGGAGATTCGATTCGAGCGTGAAGAACAGGAGCGCAGATTCCAGGAAATGAGAGAAGAAGCGATGCGACAAGGTGACCAGGTTGGACTGATACTCTGTACTAAGCGATGGAAAGCCTACAATAGAAAGATTGCAGAAACTGCGCGCCAAAATACCATTTCCAAGATACGCTATATATGCGGCGAGGTGAGGAAGATGGAGCTGGATGGATTACTTGGTCTTAGCATCCTACAGTCCGCACAGCAATGTGCAGCGCGAAACGTTCTTCCAAAAGACAGGATCCCGCCATGGACGCAAATGCTAGATAAATGTGACAAAGCAGACGAAGGGCTGGATGAGAAGTTCGAGAAGTGTTTTCCGGATTTGGAGGCTGTCTCCGAAGTAACATCAAACCGTGTCCGAGAGATGGCGACAACCCACGACATGGTCTTGACGCGCACACTCAAGTTTGCTGGCGCAGATCTCGTGGGAATGGATGATGCGGCAAAGGAGCACGTGATTCAAGCACGGCTGACTGATCCTGTGACGGCGGGCCTGATGAAGCAGACGTTGTTCGATGTGTTGGAAATGCAAGTAGTTGCCGCGCAGATGCTCAGACATGTCCGCGTGATGGATGACTCATTGAATGAGTTGTTAAAAGCGACAAAGGCAAAGTGTGAAGAGGTTGAAAAGTTGACGCTTGTGGCTGATTATGACGAGAGAGTGGAAAGTGGATATGTGGAAGAAATGGAAGGGGTGGATATTGAGGAGGCGGAATTTGCGTAGTGGGGGAATACCGAAATCCGACTGATACTATAATCTGACCGCTCTAATCACTTTGTTGTTGCGAAAACAAATGAAGCACCGCCATTGCCGGTATTGGTGCGATGTGGAATTGACAAAAGCCGTTGGGCAGGCACTAAGGCGCGGTGATGTGAATGGCGGAGGGTCGCTGGGGCGGATAGCCGGATTCATGTCGGAAAAGAACGGGACCCATGCCAAGCACAAAACTTCTCACCAACTATCGCAGTCCTATCTCCGTTTGCTCATTCTCAATTCAATCTCAACCTTCACCTTCATTCGACCACCTCTCCACTCTCCACTCCCCTTTCGCTCATACCATCCATATTAGCGATCATGGCCACTTCTCCCCCTCCTACCGCCACGGGCTCTTCCAAGGTTGACGCCGCAAAGGCCAACCTTGCGGCCGCCGACCCTACTGCTCCCACTGGTCTTGCGCTGTACTCGCGATTCGCTTTCGCTGGTGCCGTCTGCTGCTCCGTCACCCACGGCGCCCTCACACCCGTCGATGTGTATGTTGTGTCGCCCCTCAATGGCTTGGGATACCGCAATGGCTGTGTCGCACATGTTTTTGCGACAGCGGCCAGGTATTGAAAATGACGCCAGAATGCCAAGCTAACAACTCCCCAGCGTCAAGACCAGGATACAACTTGACCCCGCCAAGTACAACACCGGTTTGATCGGTGGCTTCAAGAAGGTCATCTCCACCGAGGGTGCCGGCGCTGTCTGGACTGGTTTCGGTCCTACCGCTGCTGGTTACTTCCTCCAGGGTGCCTTCAAGTTTGGTGGTTATGAGTTCTTCAAGCAGCAGGCCATCAACATGGTCGGCTACGAGACCGCCTCAAACAACCGTACCGCCGTCTACCTCGCTGCTGCTGGTGTGGCTGAATTCTTCGCCGACGTTGCCCTCTGCCCTCTCGAGGCTACCCGTATTCGTCTTGTCGGTGACCCAACCTTTGCCAACGGTCTCGTCGGTGGATTCACCAAGATCCTGAAGAACGAGGGTGTCGGTGCTTTCTACTCTGGTTTCGGTCCCATTCTGTTCAAGCAGTACGTACCGGCTGTGTCCAAGCCAATATCCCCCACCTAACACCACACAGGGTTCCCTACACCATGGCCAAGTTCGTCGTTTTCGAAAAGGTCAACGAGGCAGTCTACACCGTCGTCGACAAGAGCAAGACCTCCTCCGGCATGCAGACCGTCTACAACTTGGGTTCCGGTCTCATGGCTGGTTTCGCCGCCGCCATCATCTCCCAGCCCGCCGACACCATGCTTTCCAGGATTAACAAGACCAAGGGTGAGCCCGGAGAGGGAACCACCAGCCGTCTGATCAAGATCGCCAAGGAGCTCGGTCTCCGTGGCTCATTCGGTGGTATTGGTGCCCGTCTCTTCATGGTCGGTACCTTGACTGCTGGTCAGTTTGCCATCTACGGTGACATCAAGAAGGTAAGACTCTATTTCCAGGATTTGCATAAAACGTACGCTAATTCGCTCCCCAGGCCCTTGGTGCTACCGGTGGTGTTGAGATTGCCAAGACCAACTAAATGTTTGTCGCGTGCGATGAGGAGTGGCGGAGGAGATGACACCAGGACAGCCATGGCGAGTCTCGATGTGGGCTTGTCATCACGCAAAAGTCTGTCTTTTTTGCATAATGGCTGGCATGGATTCGGTTTGATATCACACTTTATCTTCCATATGTGTTTGCGTTCCTTTGCAGCCTTCAAATTAGATCTTGCTTCGCTTTGTAGAGGGCGATATCATGTAACAGTACGATCGAGTAGGAATATATGCTGCAGAATAGACCCAACTCATAATCTTAGACTGGTGTTAGATGTGATGTATTGAGTGCGATGGGATGATATCATCACTATCTCATGGGATTTGGATTTGCCGTCTAATATATGTCTAGATTTACCATCTAATATATGTCCAGATTCTACCGTCTAACACATGTCGAGATCCTCTGATGCGTCTCCAGATACTGTCAAGTCTAGAACACCCCCCTACTTCCCATAAACATCCGCATCAAAGTTTGTAGGAAACTGCTCCCTGCCCTCGGCATCCCCCCTAACCCAAACACTAACACTCGTGCCCGAACACCTAAACACCCCGTACCCCTCCTCATCAATCTCAACCTCGCCCTCCTCCCACCCCAGCAAATCCGTCCACTTCTGCCCCGCATGCATCTCCCCCACGGCCATCTTAATCTCGCCCGGACCCGCATTACTCATCACACAAGCCAGACCAGCCTTCTTATCCCACGTACCCCTCCTTACAAAGCCGATGCAGTTTGCCTCGTTGAAGTAGTCTTCCTGATCGCCGTACGCGAAGAGTTTCCTTGCGAGAATCAAGTCTGCGAGTTTCCCGCCGCAGGACGCTGGTGTCTCGTGTGGTTCAGCGAGGCCGTAGAGGTCGCCGTAGAAGGGGCAAGGGTAGCCGTCACATCTGAGTAAGATGAGCGCATACGCGAGTGGTTTGAAGAAGCCCTCGATTTTCGTTTCCATGACCTGGCCGGGCTGGGTGTCGTGGTTGGTAACCACAGTCACGGCGTCCGTGGGGCGGATTTTCACAAGCGTGTTATCAAAAACCGTTCGCAAATCTGCGTTCTCGGTTGTTGATAAGGTGCCGAAGTTGTTCAGGAGCGGGGAGTCATAAAGGGCGAATTTATGCGCCATTTGGTCGAGCCAGTCACTCATGATTTGCACGTCTCCGGACCAGAATTCGCCGACGACGAAGATGTCGGAGCCGCATTGCTCGCGCAGGTTGTCGATCCATGTGTTTGTGAAGCGGGAGCTAAAGTGCTGGACGGCGTCGAGGCGGAAACCTTTGAGGCCGAGCTCTTTGGTTATCCACACACCCCAGTTTTTGACGTCTTCTTGCACTTCGGGGTGCGAGTAGTCGATGTCGGCGAACATCATGTAGTCTGCGTTTCCTTGCTCGTCATCGACAGAGGAGGACCAGCCTTTGTTGTCGCCGAGGATCTTGTAGATGGCCTTCTTTTCGTTGGCTTGGTTGTAGTCTGTGCCGGAGAAGTGCTCCCAGTGGTACTTTTGCGCGGAGTACTGGTCGCCGCGGCCGGGGAAGTCGAAGCCTAGCCATCCTTCTATCTCGTATGCTTCTCCGACTTCTTTGGTTCGGTCGTTTTGGTCGACTTCTACGACGCGGCATTTTTCTGTCCTGTCGGCTCCGGCTTTGTGGTTGAGTACAGCATCCCAGTAGAGACCTACACCGTTCTCCTTAGCCACTTTGGCTAGTTCAAGGAGCTCGTCTTTGGTGCCCCATTTCGTGCCTTTGCCACCCTTTTGGTCGAATTCACCAAGATCGTAGAGGTCGTAAATGTCGTAGCCGACACCCTTGGGGTTGGCGGCCTTGCAGCCAGGAGGCAACCAGATGTTGCTGATACCGATGGCCTTGAGTTTGGGGACTTGCTCGGCGAGGCGTTTCCAGTGTTTGTGGTCATCTGGAACGTTCCACTCAAAGCCCTGGAAGAGGGTTTCGTTCTCAGGTGTGGGTTTCTGTTCTGGGCAGTGTGAGCACCGAGTCATGAAAGGAGGGGTTCAACATGACATCTTCACCTACCTTCTGAAGTCATGATTGCGATTGGGTTATCGTTCTGTAGTCAGCACCCTATCTGAGTGTTCCAGGAATAAACGTATATCAAGAGTGAGAGTCAAAAGTAGATTGAGAAAGGATGTATTAAAGCAGATGGCAAATCTACCCGAATTCTCTAAGTGAGAAAAACTTTCCGAGTACCATGGTACGTATTTATGTCATTCCTACAACTGATAGCGCGCGCCCAAGCCTGAGTTTGCGTGGAACGGATCAGGTTTGTACGTATATCAAGTACCCTGCATCCGTGTTTGTTCCTAGGGTGCATTCAAGAGTTTTGTGAATGGTCTGGACACAAGTGGGTCCCGCGCTGTTCAACAATCACTAGCAATGACGTCAGCTTACATTTAACATCCCGCGGACCTGCGCAACGCGGCAGATGTATTTTGAAATGTGAAAGAGTGAATTGCGTCAAAGTTAGACAGTGACAGTACATTGTACGCGATTAAGCTCCGGACGGCAGTCGTCGATGCGGAGATTCTGTGAACGATCGTCGCTACTGACAGCGGGGGAAGTGCAGTACAGACTAGGCCGAATCAAGCAAGGTATGCTGCTCACTCCCGACCTCTCACTTGATTGGTATACAATGCGATGTATTGTTCATTCACTGTAAAGGCTTAGAAAAGTGGATGCGCTAGAAATTCACTACCTCGTCAATGTCCGGTGAGGCATGAATTCACTTCTGCATTGTTGCCTAGCGCGCTTCGCCACAAGCCCTTACCCTCTCTCATCAATTCTTCCTTCATTATCAGCTACCCTCTGACCACAACTATGGACAGAGCACTCAACAGTCAAGAACAAGAGAAGGTGCGCAGCGCACGCGCTAGTTTCTTCAACACCAGACAGCCAACTTCTACTTCTTCCTCGCAACCAGAGTCAACAAACTCGACCTCGACTAGTCAACCCCAAGTCAATAAACGAAGTCACCAAGAATACGACACTCAACCCATTACTACCACACCAAATAAGCGCACCAAGATGTCATTCTTCACTACCACAGCAAACAAGCGCGCCAAGATTTCATCCTTCAAGACTCCAAAGGAACCCATGGACGAGGCTGCATCGAAGAGCCAGATCATCGTTGACTTCTACGAACCCAACATCGGTGCCCCAGATAGCCTTGGTCGCACGCAGGCTGAGATCCTCCAATGGTCTGATGACCAACTGGAATCCTCTCACAACTACATCCAGATGCTCTTCCCACTTCCGGAGGGATCACCTTACAACAGCGCGGCACCAATAATCGATCTAGACGTCATGCAAGCCTTCCGATCGCGACCTGAGCTACGCCAGCAATTGCGTCTAAGCTTTGAGCGTATGCTCAAGTTCTACGGCTTTCGGGTCATAGACAAGTCGGATTATGAGATCAAGCAGACCCCCCATGAGTTCCGCCATCAGTTCAGCCATGAGTTCCACCATGGGTTCCGCAATTGGTCAGATGCTGAGATCCACCAAATTATTGGCACAGCATCCCCCGATTCATTGCTTGATACAGTGTCAGGCGTCGCCCGCCAGGAGACAGTGAACACTGGTCATAGAACGGCAGCAACACGAGACGAGGCAGAGCAACAGAAGACTGAGACATACACGGATGCCCCCATCGATGCGGATTCCTCTTCCACAAACGCAGAGCAAGATGTCGCTTCTCCAGACTCAATCCCGTACCACATCGTTTGCTCGCCTGATTGGGACGAGCAATCCAGGCACTGGAATGTGCACTTCAATCACAACCATCTCCGCATTACGCGCATCCTCCGCTGTCTCCGTATCCTCGGCCTGCAGGACGAGTACAATGCGTTCTTCACGGCACTTGAGCATATCTCCACCGACACATCCAACCGCATTAGCAATAGGAGCAAGGATTTCTGGTGGCTAGCTGTGACACGCCCGCTATACGAGGTACCTGACGGCAGCCGCATCAAGTGGCTGGAGGACTGGGAGAAGGAGCAGAAGAATCTGAAGTCGGTTAGGTTCGACGAAGATATGGAGGATTCAGAGACGGAGGATTCGGAGACGGAGTAGATGGGTTGGGGTCAAGGGCGGTGTGGTGGCGCACAGCAAGATGTGTACATGCACGCAAGTGTCGATTGTGGTGGTATTCCCCAACTTTTCTCGGAGATATCTCGCTACCGGATTAGGGTAGTGGCTGTAGGCATAAACAGGTTTCTAAGCGTACCAAGACTCTCACTGTAAGCACGACCGTTTACCCCACCACGTGGTCAACAAGCATCATTCTTGGAAGGTTCTGACATTACCACGTTTGCACAGTTTGCCGGAAACGTGGTTTTCGGTTCTCTAGTCATGATATAGTGTCTTTAGACTTGCATTGTCTCGGGCGTTTCCATAGAAATGATAATGTAATCACTCTTGAACTCTGTCTTTTAGCAACATCATTACCAATTGTATTAATTATTGTAGTCTAAAAAGGTGGTATCCTTCAACAATCCAACTCACCTTGCCCAAGCCATAGGATTCAGCGAACCACGTAACCCACTCCTTCGCTTACAGATCCGTATACACCCTTGGCATCCGCCACACTCCTCGCCCGCACATGCAAAACACCACACCGACACTAACCAGCACCATTACCAGTTCAGAAAGCAGCTACAAAACTATAACCTAATATCCTCCACCAGAGAGAAACCCAGAACTGCACACAACTATAATCCCCCCCATTCCTCCCATTCTAACTAGCACAACCCTCACCCTCCCCTTCCCTCCCCAAGACCAACCTTCTCAATCAGTTGTTATCCACACTGCCACAACTACCCACCTCAAAAATACATCACACTTCCTGCCAAACTAAAAAAAAAAGGGCTGTCAGACTTGGCATCGTAAGCCACAGTCCTCACGGCCAAGACATGAGGCTTGATTACTACAACGATGAGATTGGACGGACGTTGTTGTCACGAGCGCTAGTTTGGCGGGAGGAAGGGTCTTATGATGGATGTTCTGTGGAGGATTTGAGGGGTGGAGGTGGGGTGGAAGAAGGGAGAGAAGAGGAGAGGTGGTGTTAGTGGGTCACGTGCTGGGGGCTTATTGGTGTGTAGGATTATAGGAGGGAGACGGGGGGGTTGGGGGCTTGATAGGGAGATGTGGAGACGGTGGTGGAGGATTTGGAGGAAGAGAGGCGTAAGTTGCGTGTGTTGGGTGAACGGTGAGGTCAGCGTTATTGTGGGTGTTCAGTTGCCCAGTGAGTACGAGAGTGGCTTGGGTTTAGAGGGCGTAGAGGAAACCAGAGTAAGGCGTCCTGTAAGATGAATCCTACTGGAGTTAGCACAAGCACCTCCCATCGAGCATGGCTTGTCTAGGAATATTGTCCTGAGCGTAGTAACAAACCTATCGCATTGGCCTAACCTGCCTCACAACAAAGAGAACACTGCACCTAGCAGAAGTTGTAGTTAAGAAAATATCTCTCAAGCATCCTCAAATCACACAAAAACAAAACATGATCTTCACGGCTTTCTCCACACTGCCACAATGCTCGAAAAACAGGCTCATCAACACACGACCCACGCCAAAAATGCTTACACATACCCTCCTGCTCCCCATCACATTGGCGTCAAACGCCCACTCTTCATGTCCCCATGACTTCAATCGCCTGTTTTACACCGAAACAAGGCATATGTAGTTGATCCTCCTGATGTCAAGGGTGAGATCATGTGGGAGGTAGACCGTGGCGGGATCGAGTTGGGAGCTTCATTTGGGCAATTGCTGGTGGGAAGTTGGGTGGGAGTGTGGACTTGGTAATCAGCCAAGGCGTTTCTGGGGGTTGCGTAAAGAGGGTGTTGAGATGGTGTAGGAAGGTTAGGGGTTTGGGGGTGTGGGATATCGGTGTAAAGGGGAGGATATAAGGAGGGTTTGCGCTGGAGTAGAGATGGATTCATCAAGTATCTTCCTCTCTCTTGTACGCAAGCCAATCTACTCTCCAACAACCTTCCACCAGACCCAACACCACCATTCAAAATGCGTCCTCTCGCCTCCTTCCTCCTCACCCTCCTGTCCGCAACACCCACCCTCACCACCCCCCTCGCCTCCTCCCTAACCAAACGCGAAATCAACCCAAACACCGTCAACATACTCACCCCGGACCAACTAACCACCCAACGCACCGCCCTCCTCCTCGCCCAATCCGAAGAAGCCCGCGAAGCAATCCTGTTCCCCAACCCCCCCAGCGCCGCAAACGACACCTTCCAATTCCTCAACAACACCGTGCTCGCCCCCACAGGCGGAACAGTCTACCTCTCCACCGTGGCCAATTTCCCCGCGCTCGGCGCCACAGGTCTCGGCGCCGCTGTTGGTTTCGTGAACCCGTGTGGCCTCAACACGCCACACTGGCACCCGCGCGCGAACGAGTTTCTAACAGTAGTTCAGGGCACGTTGTTAGGTGTTGTGTTGTTGGAGAGTGAGAGCGGGTTTGGAAGTGTAGTTGGTGGGGAGGCGGTGGTCAAAGGGCCGTATACGCAGGTGGAAAGTACGTTGGCGAATTATACGGGTATGCTTTTTCCAAAGGGCTTGGTACATTGGCAGTTTAATCCAGAGTGTGAGCCCGCTGTTTTTGTGGCTGGGTTCGATAGTCCGGATCCGGGGCGTGCGGAGGCGGCTAGGGGCTTCTTTTCGGGCGAGCCGGATGAGGTGTTGAGGGCTAGTTTGGGGTATTCGGAGTTTATGTCTCCGGACCAGATTTCCGGGTTGAGGGTGGGGTTGACGAGTGATTTTACGGCTATTGTCGAGAGTTGTGCGAAGAAGTGTGGGATTCCTTATTTGCCGCCGGCGGAGACAAGTAGTGTGTTGCCGACTGGGGGGTATCCGACGGCTTCGGCTGGGTATCCGACTTCCTCGGGCGGATACTAGGGTGTGGTATGAGATTGGATGATTGGTTGAATCCCAATCGCTATAGGATGTGGAAGATGGGTGTGCGAAACTTGGAAGAGACCTTCCTTTGTACAAGGACATTCGTTTGACTCTGTTGTTGGATTCGGGTTAGTAATAGGTGGTAGTTAGACAACACGCTCGTTTCATCTTACCGTACCCGAGAAATCATTTGTGGAACTATCGCATCATGAATGGGAAGACACAAGAGATTGCGACTGAAATGACATGAACACAAACATATGATAAGACGAATACTGCTGCACACATAAATATCAGGTACAAACTTGTAATACCAACATCAGTCAAACCACTTGATTCCATATATACACTGCCTACGTGTATCCACTCGGCACCTAAGACCTCACGTCTAAAACTCAGAGATCATGTCACCCCTCCGCTTGCCGCGCATTTCCCACTTTCCCTAAACGCTCCTGTCAGCATATGATTCCCAAAGTTCCCCATTTACAATGCCTCTCGCATGCTTCACTCCCCTCTCCCTCTCTGCGTGTGCATTCATGAACTCACCTCAGTCATGTATCCGGCGGTGCCCAGAATACTCGGTACCAAGACCATGTAGGCGAAAGAGAGCCAAGCGGTTCGTCGCGTCCAGCGGAAGTACTTGTGGCGGTTGACAGTCATGTCTGCGCTGCGTTAGTCACCAATCTCCATGTCCTCGTAACCACCCCCATCTTCCACATCCTGCCGCCTCTATATCCTCTTCTCGCGACCGTATTCTCTTGGGGCAATGCTTCGATTCTCAGGGTGTGTAGGGTGTGAACGTACTGGCCCATTTGATGAGGGCGGGATCCGCGTGGATTACTGGTCGTGTTGTTAGCCATTGCGCCCACGTACTGCGTTGCCGATGTTTTGCATACTGCCGTGGTTGTGGCCCGCCATCCTGCGAATAGTTGGCTGCATGTTTGCGGTTTGTTTTGCGCGATTGGAGTGGTTGCGCTGGGTGGTGAGTTTGGTGTTGTAGAGGTGTGTATGCGATGAGGTCGGCGGATGCGGCAAATGCCGTTGAGGCTTGGCGTTTTGAGGTGGACGAGAATAGCAGTAAAGGCGAGGAACCGCAGGATAGCTATTTAGGTGCAAATAAACATTTACATGGCTGCTTTCTGCTACGTAGTTAGAAGACACTGAGATACTTAGATATCCAACATTCCCCGTCCGTAAAGCTAGAACAATGAAATCGCACCCATCGTCGCACCAAAAATCATCTAAACGTCACAACCAAGAGCCACACATTCACCCAACATCAACATCTCAACCCATGTAGTATGCACCCAAATCCATCACGATCCCCAAGCCAGATCCTTTCCTCCACCACCTCTTCGAACGCCCCATCGGCCCAACTCACACCCGGCCCTAACACTCAAACAACGCCCTGTCTCCGAGCGGGCAGCCAACCACCGACCAAAACCGATTTTGGCCGGAACCGCCGAAGCTTGTGACTTTGAATCGGCGGGCACGGAATTGCGCTGCAAAGAAAGAAAGAGCCTCGGTGCCGATTTACGATCTGATGATCTAACGTACATAAAGGTCTCGCGCCCGTCACTTTTTAGCTAGGCTAGTTAACCGGCGAACCTTGAACCTTTTTACATCATTAAACCAAAGAACCTTTCCTGCATAGGCTTATCGTTGTTGTTGTTGTTGTTGCAGGAGCGCTTTGGGAACAATCATGGCTGATCTATCCAACCAACAGGGTGCGAAGATTACCGTGCACTGGTATGTATGATTGCGACATTGAAGACGATGGTCTGCGTGCGACGACATGCAACAAGCCTCACCACCACATTATACCCTCCCATCCACACCCCCACCCCCCGGATCCCCCGCCCATCCCAAACTAACCCACCCCCTCCCAGGCTAAACAAATCCCGCGGCCAACGCATAGTCTGGCTCCTCGAAGAACTGCACCTAACCTACGACATCGCCGTCTACAAGCGCGACGCCAACAAGCGCGCGGGCCCCGAACTCAAAGCCATCCACCCTTTGGGAAAATCGCCCACGGTGAGCATCCGGCCCGCAGGCGCAGACAAGGACATTGTGATTGCGGAGAGCGAGGCGATTGTCGAGTACATCTGTGAGCATTTTGGGAGGCAGTTGATTCCGAGGAGGTATCCGGAGGGGAAGGAGGGGGTTGTCGGCGCGGAGACGGAGGAGTGGATGCGGTATAGGGTGAGTTTTTTGTTTTCTTTTTTTTGTTGTTTTGAGCGTTGGAATGGGGTGGTGTATGTGTGTGTGTGCTGAGTATATTCCATATTGTGGATGTACAGACGCACTCGTACAAATCACGTGCCAGCCTTCCCTCACCCCACACCCCAAACCCCCTCAAACCCCCTCCACCCCTTCAAACCAACTAACACAACCCCACAGTTCCTAATGGCCTACACCGAAGGCTCCCTCTTCACAATCCTCATAACCGCCCTAATAACCTCGACCCTAAAGTCCTCGCCCGTCCCCTTTTTCCTCAAACCCATCACATCCGCCGTCGCCAGCAAAATCGACTCTTCCTTCGTCGACCCCGAATTGAAGTCTCATTTCGATTTTCTCGAAAATTACCTCCTCGAATCGCCGTCACAAGGCAAATTCTTCTGTGGCGACGACCTCACGGCCGCGGATATCATGATTCATTTTGGACTGGAGGGTGCGTGTCAGAGGGTGGGGTTGGGGGAGAGCAAGTATCCGAAGCTGTATGAGTATATGAGGAGGTTGCAGGGGAGAGAGGGGTACGTTAGGGCGGCCAAGAGGGTGGAGGAGGTGAGTGGGGAGAAGTTTGTGCCGTTTAGTGATGCCAAGTTGTGAGGTTGTTGATGTGCTGAGAGGGAGGAGGGAGGGAGGGAGGGGTAGAATGGTGGTACGATTGTTCATGTTAGACGAGTTACGCACGGTATTTTCCATATTCATGCATACACATGTTTGCGGATCTGAAGAGTTATTATACATAGCATCAATTTTTTTATACAAATTCCAGTCTTTATCTACACACTCTCTCATACATCGCAATCAATATGCGCAACCAAACAACATGCAGTAAATGACCTCCCAAACCCAGTACAACGCTCCAAATAGGACTATTAACAATATAATAACGTCCCTCCCATGGTAATCCGCCGAGAAGATATGCCGATAAGAAATAAAACAAAGCCCCCAACGCCAATATACACATATGCATGACGAGCTTTCTTGAACAATTGTGTGAAATATCCATAAATATCCTGATCCCATGACAGCCATTTCATATCAGAGAAGAGGAAAAATTCGCAAATCGTGAGATATGATAAGAGTAAAGAACAGATATCCCGATCCAGTTGCCGTGTTTATTTCGTCTTCATTAAACCTCCCAAGGCTGGCGCTGGCGGTTCAAAGTACCATAACTAAGTGGCTCGTCTTCTTCGAGTAGGCTTTCCATGATGGATCCGACATCTGTGTTCGTAACGGTAATTGCGTCTTCTTCGTCTAGCTTCTTGCGCATGCGGTAGACTTGCACAGTCACGTACGTCACCAGTGCGGAGCCAACGATGAAGGCAGAGGCTGCTAGGAAAATGTTCACGGGGATTGGGTTGCCTTCGAATAGACCCTTAGTCAATGCGTCGATACCCGTTTGCGAGAGGTTGACCATTCCGGAGACGCAGATGATTGTGCCGTAGACGCGGCCAAAGGTGGCAAAGCCAAAGACCTTGGTGGCGTAGTCGGACATGGCGGAATAGTAGAGAGGGCGCATGAAAACGAAGAGAATGACCCTGACGTAGCCGGCCCAGAGGGCGCAGATTGAACCGAAGATACCAATCGCGGTAATGATGATGACGAGAAGTAAGAGAACACCGGCTGTGCTGACGTTGTCGAGGAGAGCACCGAGGAATGGGGTGGCAACAACACCAGCGAGGGGTAGAGCTACGTCAAACAAGGCGTTGACCTTTTCGGCGAGCTCGACTGACCCAAGCATATAAGTGTACTGCTCGCGAATAGTTGCGATGAAGTAGTTCATGCGCACCATCTGGAGGACAGTCAGAAGTGTGAGCAGTATGAACCAGGGCGTCAACATCTGATCTTTGGCCGACTTGTTGTGCAGCGCTCCCCAAACACCAGACGCTTCGAGTCTTTGCTCTTCCTTTTCCTCCTTCATCTTTCGCCACGCTTCGTCGCCAATCAATTCGTCAAGCTTGCTCAATCGCTCCCTGCGGCGCGAGCTACGGGCCTTTCGGCGCTTCCAGATTTCATTGTCTGGCAACTCGTCATCGGAAGAATGCACGTCGCGCATCGGGTCTACAGCTTTATGGATCTTCATCTCAAGTTGTGCTTCAGTCTTGTAGTTCTCGGTCGGCAAAAACGTGAGTTGCGCAACCACGATTGCGGCTGGAACAATGAGATAGACGAGGAAGAACGTCTGTGGCTTGAATGTCCTGTCGCTAGCATCGTACATGAGCCTGTAAAAGAGAAAAACAGCAGCAGAGGCATCAAAGGCGCCAGTAACGAGCGCGACGATGCTGCCACCGTACTTGGGAAAGGCATTAGCAATCTGGAACGAAGGAAGGAAGACAAAGGTGCCTCCCAAGGCGAGGAAGAAGTTTCCAATTGTATATCCGTCAAACGTCTCAATCTGAAAAGCGAGACTCATTAGGATACTGCCGAGAGCGAGACAGAAAGAACCGAGGAGAAAGCAAATCTTGGGCCCATAGCGGTCGAGCAAGGTGCCGACGGGCAGGGCAGATACATTTGCCGTAGTGGAAGCCAGGGAAAAGAAGAAATTCAGGCGGAGATCCTGCTCGAAACACACTTCGACATCTGCATCGAGCTCATCGGGGGTACAAAGATTCCTGAAGACGCCTTCCTTGATGAGAATTGGCTTGAGGGCTGCAAAGCCAAAGACGATGCCGCTGGCAAACCAACAGGCAAGAACGGTTGCAATGACCTGTGCTGATTTCCTGTTAGTGGTGTGACTTGGCCGAAAGCGGAAAAAACTTACCGATACGTTTCGCAGTCGAGACTTTGTAGGGCGTCAGACCACCAGGCTCTTCGCCCGACACAGGTTCATCGGGCTTCGGAATGATATCGTAGCTGATGACTCTCCTCACGCTCTTGCCTGTGTTGCTCATGAAGCCGGCTCCTGAAATGGCGCTCTCGAACGATTGCCGACGTTCCGCAGCGTCCTGTCGGCTCGTCTGGCGGTCAATCGGCGGCAGGAACAAGTCAACCAGCGCCTCCTCGCGGTCGGTACCCTCCTGTTGGGTAACATGCTGGATCAGTGACATGAGAGCTCAGCAATTGATCTCGTTTGTCAAAAATGCAGGGCAGGAAAGGAGTCCGGGGAAGAGAATCGAAGGTTTAAGAGCTGTCGGGCTGTCGGTTCTCGAGCGAAAAGCGGGCAGTAGGCAGGTTAAATTGGTGGGCAGGTGCACCCTGACACAAGACCCACGATCTGGCCAGCCATCGCGGACATGACATGTCACATGCAGTCAAGTGCCGGAAAGGGGTGCCGTTGATCGCGTCGTGAAGACCAAGAGGTTGATAAAGCGAATACAAGCATGCAGTCGAGCATGCTGTCGGTTGCGGGACGCTGCATGCTTCGCTTGCTAGAAACGCCGCGAAATGTCCCAAAGTGTGCTCGTCGACTTTTTCGCCGTGATTGATTGGCCGCGGCGCTTTAGCCATAGCGGCATCAACCTTGCCCCAAGTCCCCTCAGCGCATCTTCGCGCATCTTCTACAACACGCAACCCAGCCAGCATCACGCATGGGCATCGATAAGGCATCAAGCAATCTTAACCGACAATCTCACTGATCTCACCTCTTACCGTGATGCTGCGAGATTGAGAGTACGGCAGGGATCACGACACAATGCCGTGCTTTTGCCTTGATCCCCGCAACCGACTACACCTCAATGGTTAGTCATGAACTATATTGCGTCACATATCGAATGAACTCCTGCTATCGGCATGGGCACACAAATCAGCTTGTATACACGTCAGCCAAAAACAACCGCCAAAAACAAAAACATACAACAGCAGGTATTCGCCAGTGGTCACCCACCTGACTACTAACCTGCCGGTCCAAGATTTAACGTGTGGAGAGCAAACGGGATCCAGTGTATTACTTGGCCTGTGGTCGTATGTGGAAGAATATTGGAACATGTGGCTACACATGCATGGAATCATCAATTGCTACATAAAAAGCCCCGCGCAGAGTTCCTCGTCCGCTCAACTGTAAAGGCTTCGAGTTTGACTCCGCACAGTATCACTTGCATCCTCTTGCCATCAGCGTCGCTCTCGATTGGCTCGACGCGTATTCGCCAATGTGCGCGTTTGATGGTCCACTCGACTTCGGCTTCCTGGTCGTCAGCTCGCAAATGCGATGCATCGTTATCAGCAACCTTGTCACCTCCCCAAAGCCACTCATCCCGTCCGTGGCCTATGCGACGGATACCAACGCAGCCTGTTTCTCTGTCCATGCTGAGCTCAGCAGCAGCACCATCAATCTGCAATGCGCAGTCTGTGTCTAGTCGCACTCGGACACGTCGTTCACTGACACCTGAATTTGCTGGGCTGACTGGCTGTGCAGCCACACCACCTCCAGACTGCAAGTACATGAGTCCCAGAGGCTGCGTCGCTGGTAACCCCATTTTCGACGCTACTACCGAGAATAAAGACGTCACCCGCGCAAGAGTCGAGTTGTAGAACGTTGCCCGAAGGTTCACGTTTAGTGAACCCGACATTGATGCTCGCGGAGCACTTCTCGGTAGATAGAGAGACGTGGTTTCACCTGTAGAGATTTCCAAGACTAACACGTTGCTGTTTGCATGATCGTCTGTGTATGGGCGGGCATAAGACACGTAGCCCGCTCTCAAGACAGCACTGCTACTTGAGGTAGATGGCGCAGGGCTTACAGCGGGGAGACCGTTCGGAGAAAACCCCGTCGATTGCCCACCAGATACGGATTCTGAGTCTGAGTCGCTGGCGAACTTGTCGGGATTGAAGGATATACCAGATTGTCGAATATCTTCCAGGCGCACCAGAATCTCCGACTGTTGACGGTTCAAATTGTATGAGATCTCGCACGGTATCAGCTTTTGCTCAAGCCCTTTGAGATGGAAATACCGAGCATCTCGAAGCAATCGAGCCCGGTGCGCATCGCTGCGAATCTCCATGTTGTAGCCTTGTAGCAACTGCATCAGCTCGCCGAAAATCTCTCCATTCCTACCAGGCACTGAAGGAGGTTTGATTGACGGTGGTCTGAGTAACGAATCACGATCCAGCCCCGGGAAGACTTCTGACGGTGTCGAGAAGAAATGTGCGAACCCAAGTGAAAAGTAGTTTGGACTGTCACCAGGAGCCGAGAAGATATCGCGGGGTACCTGGAAGGGGGTTCCTCCAATGTTCACAAAGATGTCGGTGCTAAACAACTGCTTGGTGAGCCGAGGAACTAAACAGTCAGCTTCATCATTCAGTCTATTTGGGATTGTACAAGCTTACGAGAGTAGAATTGTGCATCTGCAAATAGCTTCACAAAGTGCTCTGCACTCTTGGGGGTAATATGGTACCCTTGCAAATGCAGTGCTATATCGCGAAACGTTTCCGGATCACGGTCGATATACAGCGTCCTCACATCACCAGCTCGGCCACCGTTATCATGTAATTGCTGGCCGAAGAAATGCGAAAAGTACGAGGGTGCTCTAGTGGTCTCAGTTGACAAGCCTTGACTTTGGGTCTGGACGCATGCTTACCATCCGACGATAACGACGCCCCGGATAACCTAAACAATTGGGATCCAATTTGTATTGGAAATACCTTACCCGCAGGTAGTATGTCAAGCCCAGTTGGAGACTCTTGTATCTTCCGTGGTGTCGAAACATCAATCACCCTTCCTTGCGGTCCGGTGCCTTTACTTTGCTCTTTCCGTCGCCCAGTCTGTGTGTTTTCTCGTGACACTGGTTGTGGTGTGACCTCGCTGGTTGCCGTTTGAGCAGTGGTTCGCGACATTGGCGATGGTCGCGGTTCAGCCGGTACTGATCCGATAGGCGATGTCGTCGATGCGTCGGACGATTGTCGTGATTTGTTCTGCCGTTTTGGCGGATTCTCCACGGCGATAGCGCTAGCCTGCGATGCAGCTGAAGTAGGTTCAGAGTCGATCTTTCTCTTCATACCAGTCTGCACGACTGGTCTTTGCTGTTGTTGGGGTTGCTGTGGTTGCTGTGGCTGCGGCTGTAATTGATGTTGATGATGATGATGCTGCTGCTGTTGCTGCTGCGGTCGAACCGATGGAGGCGGAGGCGGCGGAGAGTGTGAGATCTGGGCCTGCAAAGCATTCGGTGTTGGTGTCGCACTTTGGTTCTGCTGGAACACCTGATACGCAGCCTCTCCGGTCGTAACAGGAAGTGGAATACTAAAGTCGTTTGTAGGATTCGCCTGATTCTGGAATTCCTGCACAAGTTCGCCCTGCGGCTCATACTGGTGCGCAAAGTCTGTAAAGTCGACTGAATTGGTCCAATCCCAGCCCGTCGGCGCAGGCCCGAAGCTATAGCCCGCGTATTGACTCGCGACTACTTGGTGTTGTTGGGCGCTGTAGTCGTGATATGCCGCAGAGGCGTCGTAGCCATGCGCCTGGCCCGCCGCCGCAACCTCTGCGGCATTTGTATCGTGGCCCGCATGGTAGCCGTTGTATTGCGGATTCGGTTGCGATGCGCCGCCGCCTGCTTGGTCAGAGGTTTGAAATACAAAGTCTCGAGATGCGGCGCCCGAGCGGTCTGACATTGGCTAGCTACAGCTGGGCAATGGCCTCGCAGTTACAAGCGACAAAACGCCCCGGCGCGAAAACAGCTTCTGATGCGCTGGAGGGAAGAAAACGATGGGTTGCTGATGAAGCGCTGAGTAAGGTCTTGGACTTGACCTCGGCACGGGCACGCTACCGGATCTGGCTGGTCGCTGCTATCGCGACGTGGGCCCGCTGTACGGGGGGAGATACGGGGAGACAGGTTTGTGGGGTGCACCTAAGCCTTTGAGCGATGTCGCGAATATATGGGAACATCACTGCCAGCACTTTCTGGGGTAATCATAGACTCAGCCACCGTCATGATATTCGCACGAGGTCGCGTCGTCGCGTAACGGAAACGAAAAGAGGCGAAGCCGCTGATTCTTGCTCACACTGTTGAATTGCATGTGAGGCTGAGGCTGACAATATCAATCCAAGCTCGGTGATACGGATTGACTGACAATGTGTTCGCATTGGGTGCTGACGTGGGATGGAAACTAAAGCGAGCATCGTCACGTCCCTAGTAGGGAACGTGGTGAGAATCTTGAGATGCTAGCATGGCTTACTACTAATGCTTAGAAGTCGATAGTGCATATGTCGAGCAGATGCTCACATGCCGTACAGTATCCTTTCCATCCAATCAATCACTAAACTCCTCACTTGTGGACTCGTCAGTCATCAGTTCGTCAGTCCCCCATTCCTCACTTTCCCCGATCACTGACTCATCTTCTTCCTCGATTACCTCGACAAAGTACTCTTCTGCTAGAAAAGGGTCGCTTAAACCCTCGAGTCCACACTGTAAACGGAATGACTCCTCAAAAGGGAAACGGTACTTTTTCCACACCCACTTCGTAATAATACCAATGTTGTCCTGTGGATTATAAGACAGCTGCGCCTCCTCGCCCTCAGGCGTCCTCCACTGTTTCTCCTTGTATATGACAACGGCCTTGTGATCCTCCGTCGACTGCTGGTCTAGTATCACAAAGGTGGTAGAACATATAGGGCTTGGGGTGGTTGCGTTATAAACCTCGGTATGCATGTTCTTGAGTTGCTCCAATGTAGCATCGCCCAGTTGTGTGGGCACTACAGTGTCGATGCGTGGTGTTTTAGGGACATCATCAAGTGCCAATGAATGCACAGGTTGGTAAAGTGCGTCCTCCCACTTTACTTCCTCATCTGGACCTTGTTCGCTCGCGAATCTGACGAATTCAGCCCAATGCTGTTGAGATGTTAGTGGTTCTTCGTTCATCCGGTACATGCGGGGGTACCTCAGGTGTGACGTCATGCGTCAGGAAGACTACAGACATCTTGGCATACACGATTGGGTACAACTTGGATACCGCACGTAAGCTTTTTGGAAGAGAAGTGAAACGTGTTTTCAGTTGTACGAGAACGAGATGTATGTAGTTTTATACGATAACCTTAAACTTTCGCAGTCTGCCTAACGCCTCACAGCGCCTTTAGGCAACTACGCTCTGTTGCCTGCGCAAGATATTAGACTAGGTGTCGAATCGTGAGTATCGGTAGAGACGTCGGCTGCTTGACACTTCGGCCCGACTTCGGCCCACCTTGCGCAGAGCTTAGGTGTACCTTCGTAGCAGCTATGTTCGTAGAAGATCAATACCAATACCAGTCACCAGAAGAACCTCGTTGTTGTTATTCACCCGTACGATCGTACAAGGCCTACCAACACTGATCAGTGATTGCATGGCAGTCACAGACAGTTAGGTTAGAAGAGACAGATCCTATAACCCCGCGCGTTCCCTAGATCGCCTATATCAGCGGCGGAGTTATCTGTGCTAAGTTCACTGTTAGCTGTATCAGGCGTCTCATCCGGCTTGAGACCGACCGTTCCAGCCGTATCAGAGCGTTCCCAGACGCAGTCCATACACGCACCGACCCCCACTTGGTCGCGCCATTGACCCGTGTACAACCCACGACTACCGACGAGTCCCTGGCGAACGCAGCCAGCAAGGCACACGTCAACAATCTACGACAACCGACGTATCCCTGGCGAACGCAGCCAGCACGGCACGCGTCAACAACAAATGGCGAGCGAAACAGCAAGCAGTAATGGAGGCTGTACACTCACACGAGAGGAGTTGCTAGGGACCACAAACCTAAAGGCAAGAGAGTGGCGTCACATTGATCCAAAGATCTGGGACGATGAGATCGAAGCCCCAGACGACGAGGTAGACGGAACTGCAGCAACAACGTACATTGCGCGTGCGATCGCAGACTACACAGACCGGCCAACAGCAGACGCAGAGCTCTTTGGTGAGTTCTGTCAGGACTTTGAAGGCTGGACTGAAGCTATGTTTATGCGCGCGCATGCAACGTATACTAAGGAACTAAAGCGGATCCTCCGCTTTAAGGGCGTGTACACTGGCCGTGTTAACATGCCGCCAAGCGAAGCTGTGGCCAAGCTACTGCACAAGGAGGATTGTCCGAAGTGGCCGGACGATCAGTTCCAATCTACTGCCTTCGACGAGCGGTCAGCGGCGTATATGCTGCAACAGCGGAGGCTACTAGGACGACACACTACGGGATCGGTACAACCTACAAACGTAGGGACAGCGAGTCGAGCGCAGAGCCAAACCTCTGCAAGGGCAAGAGACCAAGACGCAGAGGATCAACAAACCGATGTCCAAGACGAGACCCGCACCCGTACCCAGGTCAGCCAACAACTAGCAGATCCGCTTGTAGAGACAATTGAACAGACACCACAGGCAGACGGGCGACACCAGGCGGACCAGCGACAGCAAAGTCATCAACCTCGCTTAACGTACAACAACTTTGACAGATTCCGCGAATACACGCCAGCATACCCACAACGCCCAAAGGGACCGAGCGTCCCTCCAATTATACCTTCAGGGGATACAGACCCATACAAGGCAGTTCCCCCAATCGAGTTTAATAATGGGAAACTAGATCCGAAGACAATCAATGTCTTTACAAAGATGTGGGATCGTGAGAAGAAATACACAGGGAAGCCGTACGACCTCCTAGACGACAAATTGAAGATCTTCTACAGCATCTGCTATCACGCAGACATCCAGCCAGACCAATTCCATGCAGTCTTTCCACGGATCCTGGAAGGCCGTGCGCAAGACTACTACCTCCACTTCGTTGATCAGCGGACAGATACATTCTTGACTGTATACACGAAGCTTAAGAACCACTTCGACACGGACGTCAACCACAGTCACTACTATGCAGACTGGACGACGACATCCTTTGCTAAAGTCCATAGGGAGAATCCTGACAAGACACTCCATGAGGTCCTTGACATTATGCTAGACAAACTCCAGTTATGCCAGAGGGCGCTTGGGCAGCAGTATATGGGAGAATATGCGCTCCGGACCACAGTAATCACAGCATGTCGAGGCGTTAAAGAGTTCGCAATGGCGCTCTACAGGCCGTCTCTAGAATGCGAGGTCCTATTTGGAGATCTACGATCTTCGATTGAAAACTCACTCGCTATGACTACCTCTGTCAACTTCACAGAGGTAGACCAAGGTAACCAGTACTACTTAGACCGCCGGTACAACAGCAATGGAAGAAACCGAGGTGGGTCCCGAGGCGGAACTAGAGGCGCATTTCAAAAAGGCGAACAAAGCTTTGACAGTAGCCGTGGATTCAAGCCACGCTGGAAGAAGAAGTGCTTTGTCTGCCAGAAGGAAGGATGCTGGTCCACAAACCACACAGACGAAGAGCGCAAGACTGCCCGTGCGCAGTTCTTCTCTATGCTGTATTTTACAGGTGCGCCACCACCCAAGGACTTCTCAGTACACCTTGCAGAGTACGAAGGAATTGAGCACACCAGCCAGTATAACCAGAGAGGCTGGAAAGAGGAGGAAGACTGCGAGGATGACGACAATGACGACGGCACTGGCGAACAACAATACTTTGAGCAGCAGTTCTTCAAGGAGCAATGCCTTGCAGACCAGGCGTTCTTGCATCACATTTCTGGCGACGACATATACGGTCGAGGCGCGCCGTCAGCACCAGCGTCGCAGTTTCTGCTCGAGGACCGCTATACACGATCTCTGTACCAAGGTATCCTCCCGGATACAGGCGCTGCCAACGTATCTACAGTTGGCAAAGAGCAGTATCTTGCACTCACACGAGAAGATCCAACAGTTAAGATAGACACATCTACAGCTGGGAAAGCATCTATCAAATTCGGAAAAGGCGAGGCTACAGCGTCTATTGGAACAGTGCAGGTCTCTACAGAGATTGGGAAGATCAACTTCGAAGTGCTCGAGGCGCCTACACCGTTCTTGCTGTGCCTTGCAGATATGGACCGCTTAAAAGTCTACTTCAATAACACTACAGATGAGCTTGTTCAGGACAAGATACGCATCCCTGTTCTACGCAAATGGGGACACCCATGGTTCCATCTCAACAAGAGAGAGAGAGCAACGGTGTTTCTCACTGAGACAGAGCTGAGACGGCTCCATCGCCGGTTTGGACACCCAGCTGTCACGCGACTAGTTAAACTCTTAAAGGACGCTGGCCATAACGACTTTGAAGAGAGAACCCTAGAGGAGGTCACTAAATTCTGCCACCACTGCCAGCTCCACAGCTCCGCGCCGCGCCGATTCAAATTCACTCTGAAGGATGATCACCACTTCAACTATGAGATCCTGGTGGATGTGATGTATCTCAGCGGCAAGCCAGTATTACATGTGGTTGATTCTTCAACTGCTTTCCAAGGCGCAAAATTCCTCAGCGCTATCTCAGCTAAGGAGACATGGCAGGCACTGCGGATGCTATGGATCGACACGTATCAAGGACCACCAGACATCATCACACATGATGCAGGCACCAACTTTGCAAGCGCAGAGTTCCGTGCTGAGGCAAAGATCATGGGAGTTACATGCAAGCAGGTGCCTACAGAGGCTCACTGGTCGGTGGGCAAGACTGAGAGATACCACGCACCACTTCGCCGAGCATGGGATATACTCCATGACGAGCTCCAAGACGATATGTCTGATGAAGCGATCCTTCAAATGGCCGTGAAAGCTGTCAATGACACCGCTGGACCCGATGGTCTAGTCCCGACTCTACTAGTCTTTGGAGCATACCCACGAATGACTACAGAGTCGCCGCCGGCACCTTCAATGGTTAGGCGCAGCGAGGCTATTCAAAAGGCGACGAAAGCCCTGCGCAAGCTTACTGCAGAGCGCCAAGTTGCAGACGCCTTGAACACCCGCAATGGACCAGCCACTGCAGACATGCTCGCGCTCCCACTCCAGAGTGAAGTCTTAGTATGGAGAGAGAGTGATGGCTGGAATGGCCCGTACAAGATCGCCAGTATAGACGGCCACAACGTTACTGTCGATATGGTCAATGGTCCAACAACATTCAGATCTACTGTCGTCAAGCCATACTACAGACCGGACCATCTTTGGAGCGACCCCGATGCGCCACACGCGCTGAATGAGCCGCATGAGCCGGTAGCAGTACCACCGGCAGTGCAACCACGCAAGAGAGGCCGCCCTCCAGGATCAAAGAACAAGCGGAAGGGGCACGCGTACATCACCAAGAAGGAGCAGGACGATCTTGAGCTAGCTATCAAGCTACGTAACGATGGAGTTATCACAACACCAGGCGCACCCTTTGAAGCATCTGATGACCAAGAGATCAGCGACCTCGTAGGTCGTGGAGTCTTCAAGTTTGAGCAATACGACGAGAGGCTACACAGCAAGATCCGGATCTTCAAGTCACGCCTGGTACGTGAGGTCAAGGGAAAGACAACCAAGCCCTATGAGAAATCCCGCCTGGTTATCCAAGGCTACCAGGACCACGGCAAAGAGGCTATCTTGACGCAATCTCCAACCATCCAGCGATGCAGCCAGCGCCTGATCATGTCGCTGGCGCCCGAGATGGTACAACGCGGAATGAACATAGAGCTCCGTGATATCACGCAGGCGTATCCCCAGGCGCAGACAACCCTGAAGAGGACGATACTCGCACATCTTCCTACTGAGCTGGTACCACGATATCCGAGGGGCACGCTACTCCATGTGATCAAGCCACTGTATGGAATCGCAGAGGCAGGAGTCCACTGGTGGACAACCTATCATGGGCACCATTGCAAGGAACTGGACATGGCAACATCTACGTACGACCCATGCCTGTTAATCACAAACAGCGACACCAGCATCTTCGGCATCGTTGGCATGCAAACAGATGACACTCTCATGCTTGGGACACCCGCGTTCTCGTTACTTGAAGAGAAAAAGATCCAGAAGGCAGAGTTTAGATCGAAACCAAAGTCTGTCCTTACACCAGAAATTCAATTGGATTTTAATGGATGTACACTCACGATCGACGCTAGCAAACCAATTCTGAACCTTAGGCAGAAAGGACAAGGAGGAAAGATCAAACTTGTGGACGTTAGGGCACCCGACCGCGCGCAACAGTACACAGAGCAGCGCGCCCGCGGAGCGTACATCGCATCAACATGCCAACCAGAGGCGTCATTCGATCTGTCCGTCGCCGCTCAGGCGCAGCAACCATCAGATGAGGACATCAAGGCACTCAACAAGCGCCTGAAGTGGCAGATAGAGAACCTCGATCGTGGCCTCCGTTACATCACTGTCAATCTCACGGAGGCTAAGTTGATGGTCTTCGTAGACGGCTCCTTTGCCAACAACAAGGACCTCAGCTCACAGCTCGGCTTTGTCCTCATGCTCGTCAACGAGTCTATTGACGCTAACACCTTCACAATCCAAGGCAACATAATCCACTACAGCTCTACAAAATGTAAGCGCGTCACAAGGAGCGTACTAGCCTCTGAGATTTATGGCATGGTCAACGGCTTTGATATAGGCATCGCTATTGCCACTACCTTAAGAATAGTCACAGAACGACTTAGAATACCTGAGGTTCCCTTGGTTGTCTGTACAGACTCGTACTCCTTGTACGAGTGCCTCGTTAAGCTTGGAACAACGAAGGAGAAGCGTCTTATGATCGACATCATGGCGCTGCGTCAATCATATGAGCGTCGCGAGATCACTGAGATCCGCTGGATCAATGGTGACGATAATCCTGCTGACGCCTTCACGAAGGCATCGCCAAACCGCGCTCTTGAACGCTTTATTGACGGCAACAAGCTGACAGTCCGAGTAGATGGATGGGTGCAGAGGCCGACAAGCTTTGATGTTTGATGCTACACACACTGTCACTACCGATACAAGCAGAGTTACTAGCTATCCAGAAAGAAAAGACTTCCAATGTCGAATCGTGAGTATCGGTAGAGACGTCGGCTGCTTGACACTTCGGCCCGACTTCGGCCCACCTTGCGCAGAGCTTAGGTGTACCTTCGTAGCAGCTATGTTCGTAGAAGATCAATACCAATACCAGTCACCAGAAGAACCTCGTTGTTGTTATTCACCCGTACGATCGTACAAGGCCTACCAACACTAGGTCTTTTAGACGGCCTATCTGATACTAGCATATAATAACGCAGCAAAAGAGACTGTAGCCATCCCGGAAGAGTTTCTTTGGCGCAAGAGTGGTCGATGAGAACAATGACTGTAATACAGATGTACAATAACAGCAATAAATTCAAGAGTTTAGTATTATCCAGTATCCAAAGCTCATCCTCACACACAACAGTCATTGCTATCACCAAACATCCCACAAATCCCTATATCCACACACCCCACCTACCCAGCCACCGGCGGCGGCCCACCACCCATCGCCCCAATCTGCACCAACACCCCAAAAAGATCCGGCAATCCCCTCTCCTCCACAACCTTCCCCTCCTCAAACCGATAAATGTTAACCGCTGACATACAAATGGCTTTCCCTGTCGGCGGCACCCCCATAAAACTACCATCATGCGTACCCTTTGTTTCAAACCTCGCAACCACTTTGTCGCCTTCGCAAATGGTTTCTTGTAACGTCCATTGAATGTCGGGGAAGGCGGCGCGCATCATGCCCAGGATTTGGAGGTAGCCGTCAAGACCTTTGAGGGGTGAGGTACCGAAGGGGACGTGGAAGATTGCGGATTCGGAAATGACTTCTGCGCCGAGAGTTGGGTCGGCTGTGTTTATGAAGGCGATGAAGCGGGCGAGGTCTTGGAGGATGGGGGATGACATTGTGGGGTTGGGATTGGTGTGGTGGGCTAATATAACCGGTTTTTGGTAAGTCTGTTGGGGAATGTGTCTATTCTGGGGTGGTTCGATGGGTAGCTAGAGTAGATTCCACGAGTTTACAGTACGAGTGCTGTGGTGGTGAAAAGTGCGTGGTTGTACAAGTCGATACCTATGTGGTCAGGGCATAGCGGCATTTTAACTCGCATACAGATTGAAAAACAGTGGAGTATCTCGACTACAACTAATGCTTGGAAATCTCTAGAAAAGCTTAGGTAAATCTATCGTAAGGTGTTAGGTGCATTACCCGATGCCAGGTACACTATCCGGTACCTGTCGACCATGCCGTTTCTAAGCGAGGAACGCGGCTTGCCATGTGCTCTCTAGCCTTTCTTAGTCCATTTCAGTTACGAAATTGCTCGTGTAATTCACTTGTCGGGAAAGGTATGGATTTTATATGATGAGTGTGGAAGGTTTGCCGTGTCTACTCGCTGTACGTCATAGGTAAGTTGAGTACACCCCGAGGTCGGTTCGTGGGGTACCGCATTCTGTCGCATGGATAATATGGGAAACGACTAGGAAAGAAAGTATAGCGAATAACTCCGTTCCGTTCCTGCTTATGCGCTTACTTGCGTAATGTTAGTGCAGGCTGCCGCGTAAAGCGAAAGGCTTATCGCAACCGCATTCGCAAGACTGCGGCTACGGGCGCAGTCTACATACGTATTCGTCAGCGTCGGGACAACCACCATCAACATCTCGATCTGCTTTATCACTACCCTATTCGTAACCAGTCTTCCGGAGCTTATTCCCCTAGTCTACAAAATCACCACGCGTAGTTGAAAAGCAGCACACGCCGCCAACATTGGCTTACATCCCCCACGTGACCCCAGTACCACTCCCGAAAGACCGCAATCCTATATATACCTTTCTGCAACCACTTGGGAACGCAGATCTGGGGCCGTCCGTGGCTTGAGATTATCTAGCCTCACCGAAAACGTCACTTCGTCCTACCACCTCCTATGTAGGTACTCTATCCCTCGACACGAAAACAAGGCTCCGTCGTGGCGTTCAGCCGCTCATTGCTCCAGCCCGAAATTTCAACAAGGATACAGAGTAGACACCCAATGGCATAGACTCTACTTCAAAGAACATGTAAAATGCCATTGCGCCGCGATCAATTATCTACCCGTGTTCCTGGCGTTGAGGCTGAGCCTCGGTGTCCGACTGTCACACTGGTGGCGTCGTCGGGGCCAAAATGTTTTCGCTGCCTTTGGATAGGCGATGAACGATAAGGAGAAGGCGTCGGGAAAAACTTCGCCGTGTTCGATTGTTGGGGAGCTGAGTGCGTGGGAGGCGCGGAAACATGTGATACTGCTTGCGTACCTTTGTAGGTGTTGCGCAGTAAGACGCCCCCGTGGCTGTACTACATGGGTGAGCAGGAAGACATATATGAACCGCCCCTGAGTCGGCAAAAGCTAGGAGTTGTAGAGCATTCTTAGTAAATTCTTATCTAAGGGGAACTACTGTTTTTTTTGTTACGTCAATCGTTCAATCGATCTTTACAGCTATGATGTTTTCTCATCTCCCCCTCGTCGTCTTCCTCATCGGCCTCATTTCCGTATCCGCCCTAGTCGTACCAGCACCAGGCCCAGTTGATCAGTATTCTGAATACCCAACTCCAACTTCCAAGCCTTGGGTCCCCGGAACCTTCCCTGGTCTACCCACCGGATTCATGCCACCCCCAATCTACCATTCCACAGGAACAGTCCCACACTCAAGCGTTCATACCCATGTACACACGCACAAATCTTTCGACACTGGTATCCCTCGTACGCTACCACCCGTTCCCCATCTCTTACATTTCAACTAACTTCCCCTCAGACACTCCCCTCCCCTACCCGACAACCTACCCAGCAAACTCCCACCCAACCTTTCCAACAGGCTTCCCAATATTCCCCCCTTACCCCTACAAACACGTCTCCAAATCTACGTTCAGTACGGTAAAATCCACTGGATGGCGCCACTCGCACGTGCCTATGCCAACGGGTTGTGCGGACGAGTCTACGCGTAGTACTGGTGGTTGGAAGGACAGCACTGCTGCTCGGCCGACTGGGACTGCGGCTGTGGGTTATGGCAGTGGTGGCTGGTAAGGGTTTGGAGCCATTTATTGGTTCTTGTCTGTAGGGTGGTGCGGGGTGCTGAGTTGTGGGACGTATCAGAGTTAAGGGAGCTGCGGAGGGAGACAAAACGAAAATTAGGGTGATGGGATAGCCAAAACTTGATCAGTGATCCCTTCAATATAATCCCACCCGAAACCACAGGCTAAGCTTTTCACGATTGATATGCAAAATTGAGACGATGTTTCTTGGGTATCACTGGGTCAATTGCGACCTACATTCGTATCTACAAATACATTACTCGCCGATTGATCATCAGAGCGCTACATGCGCGGAACGAAGCACCGGCTGCTTTTCCATATCCAGAGTTCCAAACGCCATGTTGCTGAAATACGACAAGTTCCGAAGTATTGGTGCCTGACTAGAAAGCGAAAAGACTTCTCATGCCCCAGATCTGCTCGTCAATGCTGCTGGGGGTCCACTCGGAACCTGTCATCTGACCAGCAATGCTTTCCCTCTTATCACTCGATAGCACCAAGTAGCGTTCGATGAGGTCACCATCAATGACGCTCTTGACAGGGGCGTAGTAGCTGCGGTAAGTGAGATGATCGCGACCAGAGAGTGGCTTGTCTTCTGACCGGAGGGTGAGTTCTAGCTGCTGGAAAAGCTTATGGGTTCGGCGAGAGGTGAAGGGAATGAGTGCTCCCAATGTACCCTGTAAGCCAGCCCAGAAGATGACCTTGTCTCCACCCGATATGAGGTTGGCCTTCTGTATGGAAACAGGGATATCGTTGGTGAAGTAGTGTGCAATCAGATCGAGTCGGTTTGGAGTTCCGCCTAGGTAGCTCTTGTCTACGAGAAGATCTGAACCATCTGGCGATTCATCTGAGGATTCAGAAATCTCTTTGGGACAGCGCACTAGCCAAATGTTACCAAACTTGTCACCGCCGATGGTGGTGTCGTAGTCCAGCATCTCAGACGCGCTTGTATGCCGAGCGACACTATCGTCGACAAAGGGAATGAGACGGTTTGGGTGAACCTGGTCCTTGTGCACAAAATACGTGACAGATTGCGCCTGATCAGAAACAACAAGTCGACTGCCCTGGGTTTTGATATCGACAATGCGCGTGGGAACAGAGTTTGGTGCTTGAGCCTTTCGAAGCAATGACTTCATACCGCAGTCATAGAGACACAGATGCCGACCCACACCAGCAATAAGCTTACCCTTGAAGGCAAGAAGCGCTAGTGGTGGTTCGCTGACTGCTGTCTCATTGAAGAGCTCAATCTCGCGTCCATCTGGGCTGATCTTGTACACCTGTATCGATGCACTAGAGAACTTGAAAGGTTGAAAGCTCAGGTCCTTGGCAAGTCCGACTGCCAGGAATGCCTCATTACCACGGCTCTCAAAGAAGACCAGCGCAGCACTGACGAGTGACTGGTTGCCATTGATCTCCACTGTGTGAACGACAGCCTTCTCGGTCACAGGGTCGACTACCTGGATACAAGATGCCCAACTGCCTTCAGCCCTAGGGTAGCCAAAGTCGATCGCAGGAAATTCCTCGCTTTCGGTGCTTCCGTCGGCCGCGTCGCCGTTGGTCTCAACAAGTTCCATACCGCCGTTGGTATCATTCTCTTGCTCAACGTTGCTGTCCTCCTTTGTGTTGCCTTGCGCAATCAGCTGCTGGCGTCTGTCTGCACTAATAGTGTTGTTGTCGCTCTGGATGACGTAGAAGACACCCTGTTCGTGGTAGCCTACCATCTTCCTTGGCGTGTACTTGAGCGATATGTTTTCATAAGTCGTATTGTCCGTGAGGTCATTGAAGGTGAAGATTCTTTGCTAGTCAGTGTCTGATTCTCAAAGTCTTTTGTGATAAATGCAAGTAGGTAGCTGCTTTCAGTAGGAACAATTGGAAAATTTTGTTGCCCTCATATGGTTTCGGGGTACAAGTCTTCATCATTACAGCAAGGAAAAGAGATAAGAAGAAGGGATGCTTACCGTAACTCATTAGTGCTCACACAAATGATCCCCTTGAATTGGGAACCATCAAAGTTCCACGCAGACTTGAAGGGAATGTAGTTCAGCGGTGTCAGCTGTAGGACTCCTGTGCGAGGGTGGGTGTAGCCTAGCCATGGCCTGGAAGTCATTGCTAGGATACCAGGCGAGCCTGCAACGTCGTTCACCTTTGCAAACTTGATAGGCTCGGGTCCTAGGAAACGTCTTCGAGTGTCGCCAATATCACCGGTCATCTCGTCTAGTACTGAGCGAATGTACACACCACTTCGCAGACCGATGTGAAGGAATTGGCTTTCGCCGCGCGGCGACCTATCCTTCATGAAATTGATGGTGAGGTCGCTGGGCGGTGATGTAAGAGCCTGAACAGAGATACTCCGGAGAATGTTACCGTCCATATCAGGACTGAGATTGAATATCCTGACAGTCTGGTCACTGCATCCGACTGCCAAGAAGAAAGCTCGTACACTGCCTTCAGGAACATCGGGCATTGCCAGACAGTTGATTGTGCTATCCAGAGAAATTTCTTCCTCGGCCATGGCAAGCGAACCATCGGAGTCACATTCAAAATACAGAATTTGACCAGAACTGAGAGCAATTGCGACTTGACGGTTATTCGTAGCACAGGCAACGATGGTTCGGTGCGCTGGAGGGTGCCAGTCCATGAGATTGGCATGCGTTGCGTCAGCATCATCGTTAGGAAATTGAATTCCCTGAATGTGACGAATGCCCTTGGGATGGATCTGGATGATACAATCTTCGCCGAATTGTTGCACACCAAGCGTGTTCGTGTCTGGGAGAAAGCCGGTATTAGAGGCTTCCTCCACATCATCGCCAATCTTCAACACGAGTGTTCGACTATGAAGACAGAGCACAATTAAGGTGTCTGCCTCGTCCCCACTCGTAAGCTTCGTAGTCCACACATCGGAAGCATTCTGTGGCAGAGGCGACTCGATGAGATCCAGAACTTCCAGAGCATTTCTGGTGGTACGGAAGGAGCTCCGACCGCTGGTGCCGTTGATGGTGTACACCTGTGGCGCGTCCTCTAATGCGGGGTTGGCAACTTCCATACCCATGATTGGGTTGAGACTGGGCATCGACTCGACTGGTGTGAAATTGACCAAGGCTCGAGGCTTGAAGAATGGAGGCGCAAAAGAGGTATCCGGGTCCACGGGGAACTGGTCACTCTCAAAGACCGGATCGTCCGTCTCGTCACCCAGAGATTCAAGCTCGTACAAGATGCGGTCCCCCGACTCGCAGGCGGCATAGACGAAACCTGCTCTGAGAATGCAGATACTTGTGACAATAGGTATGGTATCAAAGTACTTGATCTTGATCTTCTCAACTGTACCACTAGGGGCATCGACGGTAAGCTTGAAGACATCGCCGTCCTCTGTCTGCAAGAGGTAGAAGAAGTCACCACCCTTGAGAGAGTATAGGGTACCAGCGATGATCATACGCTTTCGATTTGGGTCCTCGGTGGCTCCCTCACGTCGTGGAATCGCCAATCGGTGGACATTGGACTTGTTGTTGAAGATGCGACGGTATGTTATGCTGTCTTCTCCACAACACAATACACCACTCGGTGCGTTGGGGCCTCCTGGAACGCGGAAGAGGGTATTGGCTGTGCGATCAACTGGCTCTGACCATTTCCGTACAATGTGATTGAGACCAAGGTCCAGCTCGTAGTATACCAGCTCCTTCTTGATCTCGTCGTACGCCTCGCCAGTGGGGTCGGTTTCCGAACTCGAGTAATCGACTTCCAGTGTAGCAAACATTGGGTTGTCATAGCCAACATCAAGTCCGATGAGACAGTAAACGAGTGTCTGGGGCTTGTGTGCTTCAAGCGGTGAGGAGATGGCAATGTCCGTCTGGCCACTTCGAGTAAGGATGTAGACGAGCTTGTTCTTCTCCGTCGAAGCAATCATGATAGCGCGCCCTTTCGGGTCAGCTGCCAGATACTCGCCCGGGACGACACGACGTATTCCAGACTTGCCGAACGTCTCAAAATGGACCGTCTTGAAGGTTTTCTCATCTGGAAGGTACTCGTACGTGACCAGTCTTCCGGAGTCTGTGGTTATGACAATGTGGTCTACAGAGTCAGCAAAGGTGCTTGGTATGATTAACAGTCCAGTCCACGCAGGCTCAGCCAAGTGCGACCTCGAAGGTGTCGTGTGCTTTGAAAATCACTATACTGCTTGTAGCGGGGAGGGCTGGGATGGACTCACCCTTGGTACCGCCGGCAATCCTGAACTTGGCGATGCCGCGAATAATGCCAAATACATCCTGAGAATAGAGCTCTTGGAAGCCTTTCTGCCTCCGCGAGACCTCTAGTATAGCCAACCGCGACCCACTCGCTGTGAGGATCTGCTGCTTGCCGGTTCCCAGAAAATCACCCGAGATGGCATCCTGAGTCGCCGTGGGCTGTTTCACCGTCAAGGCGTAGAGGGACATGGTTGAGAAGCTCGTCATGACGGGCGACAGTGGGCACTGGCCCAGATGCTATCGTCGCGTCGAATATGCGATTGCGCACAGAGTCCCTGTACTAAATGTAAAGAAACAATCAGCAGAATGTGCTGTTGTAAGACTTGACGCGCGCTGGTTTGCGACACCAGCAAGATGTTGCTAGCATAGCAGTCGAGAATCCTGAAATCTTTATGACCAAAGGTCATAGCTCCTCGGCGAAGCGTCGGTCCGGTTCAGCCAGGGGAGGGGGCGGCCCCACTAAAATTTCACCTCAAGATCTTTGCGACAAAGATCTCGACGAGGGTAATAGACGAGAACACAGCTACCGAGGAAAACCGCCGTTTCCCACAGAGACGCAGAAGAAAAACATAGTAGACGCATTTTGACCTAGTGGTTACTTTCATCGTCTCAAAAATTGCAACCTTTCCGGGACCAGTGTTACTTACCCCAACTCAAAGATGAAGCGCAAAGTGGGCGCTTTGGAGAAGCTTGAGTCGGACCATGCCGCGCTCAGGTTCAAGCTGAAGAGGGACCCCCAATCTTACCGAGATGACTTTGAGCAACAATATCAACAGTATCGCACGCTGCTTGACTTGTTTCTTGCCGACCCAAGCACTACTGATGGAGGACTTGTTGCGCTAAAAGAGTAATATCGGCCTGCGCATCTTGTACATGGAACATGACTGACTTGATACACCTTTAGTCTCATAGAATTTGTATCGCATACCTCGAACCTCTATCCCGATCTTACAGCGCAATTCCCTCAAGATCTCATAAACATATTGCTTCAACACCATGAAGTGCTCGAGTTTGATCTAAGAGACAAGGTTGTTAGCAGCATATGTCTGCTCAAGAACAAGGGCGTCATAGACTCCGTCACGCTCCTCAATACCCTATTTCCCGTCTTGATCACCACGCCTAGCAAGTCTCTGAGGAAACTCTGCTTCGAGAAGATCATCAGCGATGTACGGTCATCCAACTCAAAGACGATCAACCACAAAGTGAACAAGGCACTTCAGACAACCTTGTTTAACTTGCTGGAAGCAGACAGCGCTGCACCGCGGGGATTCTTGGCAGTCAAGATCACACGAGAGCTATGGAAGCGACAGATTTGGACCGACGCGCGCACCGTTGAGGTGATGCGATTAGCAGCGTTGAGCGATAACGAGAAGACCATAGTGGGTGGTGTAAGGTTCTTCCTTGGTGGTGATCAGGAGAGAGAAGCAGCCGCAGAGGAGAGCAGCGACGACGACAATGACATCGACATGGCAAAACTGAGGCATCAGGCGGGCATTAACAAGAAGAGCAAAAAGAAGGCCCGAGATCTGAAGCACGCCGCTGTCAGTCTAAAGAAGAAGGAGAAGAAGAAGCATGCACCGCATCCACTCAATTTCTCAGCCCTTCACCTTTTGCACGATCCTCAAGGTTTCGCCGAGACGCTCTTCTCGAAACATGTCCAGAACTCCAAGAACAAGCTTGCGCTAGAATCCAAGCTTCTGGTTCTCCAGCTTGTAACCCGACTTGTTGGTTTGCATCAGCTTACAGTTCTCCCATTATACTCTTACTTCTTGAAGCATCTTACTCCTCGTGTAAGCACCTTTCATCTTCTCCATTTCTAGTCCCTACTAACGTTATGATAGCAAAACTCAGTTACAAGCTACCTAGCTTGCCTAGCGCAAGCAACGCATACCTATGTGCCCCCAGATGTTCTCGAGCCTTTGGTGCAAAAGATTGCAAACGAGTTTGTTTCCGAAGCATCAGCCTCTGAGGTTGCAGCAGCAGGATTGAACGCCATCCGTGAGATTTGCGCAAGGCAGCCCCTAGCGATGACGGATACCTTGTTGCAAGATTTGGTCATGGTACGTGAGACTCTGCCCTGTCCGAACTGATATACTGACGTTTTGTAGTACCGCAAATCCAAAGACAAGGGCACTATGATGGCTGCCAAGGGTCTGCTATCGCTTTACCGTGAAGTCGGTGCGGATCTTCTCAAGAAGCGCGACCGTGGCAAGGACGCTTCAATGGGAATACGCGCCGGTACTATCAAGGAGAAGCGCTACGGCGAGGAGGCCATTGGCGAAATCGAAGGCATTGAGCTTCTCGAGAAATGGAAGGAGGAGGAACGACGCAAGAAGCTCGAAGCAGCCGGTCTAGATCCCGATGCAGACAACGGCGATGTCGTGCTCGAGGATGACGACGAAGAAGACTGGAAGAAGTGGGACGTAGAAAGCGACGGCGACAGCGACGACTCCGGCGGCTGGATCAACGTGGAAAGCGACGGCGAAGACATTCAAATCAGCGACTCAGAAGATGAGAAAGAAAAGGACAGCCGCCCATCCAAAAAAGCCAAACTCGACACCACCAAAACACCCACACCAGGCCCGGCAGCATCAACAATCTCTGAAAAGGAGGCCGAAGCCAACAAATCAATCTCCAAACTCCTCACGACCACCATCCTCACCCCCGCCGACCTAAAACAACTTCAAGCCCTCCGCGCCTCCTCCACCCTCTCCTCCTCCCTCCCCTCCCACAAACGCGCCCAAATCCTCGCTGCCCGCCACGCCGACGAAGCCATCACCGCCGAAACAATCGAACTCGCCGCCTCCATCGGCAAGAAGAACACCAAAGAAGAGAAGATTGCAATGGCTAAAGCGGACCGCGACACCAACCACCAGTCCACGACTGCCAAGCGCAAGGAGAAGAAGGAGGCTGAGGGAAAGAGTACGACGAATAAGGAGAAGGCGCGCAAGAAGAACTTTTTGATGACGCTGGGTAAGGCGAAGAGTAAGAATAAGAGGAGTTTGGGTGACGTTAAGAAGACGCTGCTTGGGCATGTGGAAAGGAAGAAGAGGGGCGGGAAGAGGGGTAATAAGGGGAATTAGCGGGTTTTGGTACGCGTGGGTTTCTATGGTTTCTTTCGGTTGAATGGGTGAATGTCTTATGGTGTGGTAGGCAAGTAGAAGAGAAAAGACGGTACAAGATACCCGGACCAAAATCTTTTGAGACTTGATAGATGGATACATCACAACAGTATGGCACTTGTTGTGGCCTAAAAAAATCATCTTTTCTTCACGCTAATCGCTACATGATATCGTGCTTCTTTACTTCCATTACTACACTCTCTATGCCTGTTCGCCCCCCTCCCCTCCCTTCCTATGACACAGAAACACCCTCCCTTCTACCTACTCTGCACTGCTATCCCGCTTCTCTCATCCCGCTGTAATTGATCAACGAGAATTTGCTGAGGGAGAAGATGCAGAGGATAAGCCACTCGATATAGAGTCTCCGTCACCGTTTTCCTCTTCCCCTTTGTGTGGAACACACTTCCTCAAACGCAATAACAGCTTCTTGCGTGGTGCACCCTTAGCCACTGAAGAAGGCGTAGTAGCATCCCTGCCCGGGCTCCTCAATGACGAGATCTTGCTCCTTTTCGCAGTACCTTTGCGTTTCGGTGTCGTAGGTGCGGTATTGTTAGGACTCGTCGAGCCAGATCCAGAACGCGAGGTATGCTTTGCGCCTTCCGATTTGGCGAAAACATTATCGGCACGTCGACTGTACTGTGTAGGACGCGCAACCGGCGGTGTGGGCGCAGCGGCGAAAACGTCAGCGACACCATGGCCAGTGCCATCTTGCCACATATCTGCGCCAGCGGAGAAGACGCGGCGTAGCGCTGTGTCTTCCTTGTTCGCGACCCTCGTTTCCAGTGTTGTGGTTTTTCTTTTGCGGTTGTCTGGAGTGAATGCGCTGGCGTCGGTGTTGTTCTTTCTGCGCTTGGGCGAGTGTTGGGACTCTGCTTTTAGCCATTCGGTTATATGCTGGTGTTGTAGTGAGGCTAATATTGAGATATCTTCTCTTAGTCCTCCTTGGTTGGATGAACTTGGATAGGTTTGGAGGAGGGATGTTATGAGTGAGGTGTTTTCGGCGAGATGGTGGATGTTGATACCGCGGTGTACGGTTTGGTGGATTGACCTGTGAGCGCTGATTTGAGGTGTAGATGGGGGTATGATACTGTATTGTAGAAGTGGCTTGCTATGCTGATCATTGATCATCCTCTGCTCACCTTCTTGGTCACTAATTCTGACAGATCCGACATCAGATAACATCCTCTTGTGCTTCGACGCTCCCGAAAACTCTCGAACATATTGCGCTGCCTTATCGCGGAGCATATTCTCGCTCTGGAGAGGAGTCGCAGGATAACAAATCATCGGAGTTGGATACACATAAGGCTGAGTATATGGGGATTGGTACTTTGACTGATCATGCTGTTGCGTAAGGATATGCGCGGGTCGAAGATGCTGTGACTCGGAAGACGCGTTGGGGGTATGATGAGCCCGCGCCGCATTGGGACGGAAGTCTGGAGCTGCCGATATCTTCGCATGCATCATTCGATAGATATCATGATTTTTGTGGCCAGTAAATGTGCTCCCGTGGGCAGGCATCGCCGTTATATCAAGCCTTGCAACGCCATAGTTGTACAAATCTTTGTACCCTTTGCCCATGAACTGATGGGGCTCTGGAATCTTCTTACCGCCATGGCGATGTTTTCGTTTCGGTGCTCGTACTATGGGACGGGGCGGGGATAAGGTCTCTTCGACGATGATGGGATTGTGACAGCTACCACTCATATTCACTAATGGCTTCGGAGCAAGCTTGGGCGGAGAGTATGAGATAGCTTTCTCAGAAAGACCGGGTGGTTCGCTTGGGATTAGGGACTTGCTCGATGGGATCTCTTCCGGAACATTGCCGGTGGAAGGAGATGTCAAGCTGAGGACATGCTCACTAATGTTGCCAGAGGGCTCCTTACCGGGAGTACTGGAAGTCTTCGGCGTCATCGGCATCTCATTCGCCTTACGGTTACTAGGAACGTAAACATGGATAGTATCGCTCGAAGGCCTGGTCAAGTCTGGGGGCTTGGTGGCAGCATGTGTCGACTGTGCAGTTGCAGTACTTCGCCGAGTGGAGACCATCCTTGCTCTGTCTTGGTTCGTCAGTCTCTCACCGCTCACCGGTGATACAAGCCATCTCAAATAATGTCCGCAGTGTAAGCTTACCGGTCCCTGTATGATGCCGCTGGTCGTTTGAGTGACGGTGAGAATCAGATGGTCGTTTCAACACGTCGTCTTTTTGATTTCAGCGGTGAGATGAAACCCGATAATAGTTTCTCGAGGAGCTAGAGAAGAGAGCAGATATGCTGAGTCGTAAACAAGATTGAGATGTTGCCTATGTGTATCTAGAAGGTGCCGTATGTGTGGGAAGGGGCACCCATTCTGCAAAGGGAAGGCGCAACGTACTCGCCGGCCATCAACGCCGAAGAACATCGAAAATCTGCGTAGAAGCTTTCTCTCATCCGCGTAAGGCTTTGGAATGAGATAATGACAATGAATGGGATAAGACATAAGCATTTTCAAGAAAGAGAGAGTGAGAAATATAAAAACCCCTGCAGCGCAGGGCTCCGGCCCTCCTCACCTTTGACAGAGCAGCGACACTGTCTTTCCGATCAGGCTGCACCGAGAAACGCCCTCAATTTCGCAAGCTCTTCCACATCATCAACTTCGTTGACGACGCGATTGATTGCGCCATCGTCCCAAGCGATGCCATGCCAAAGCAGTACGCCCAAATCTCTCATCATCCTCACATCTTGTAGCTGTGCCTTCAAGTCCGGCACGGCTGCGACTAGGCGCGTCCAGAATAAGCCTCGAAGCTGCTCCGCGTCATCGAAATATACCCAGGTAAGTTCAGTGTTTTGAGATGCTGGAACGACATATCCCAGCAGATGTTCAAGCCCGTACAGACAGGTCCCAAATGGCAGGTACTCCGCTTCCGCCCAATCTACTATGCCTGTGATTTCCCAAGTCTGCTCTTCGACAAGGATGTTCGATGGTATAAGATCGCCGTGATTCAACACCACTGGATAGTTAGTCATGCGCTGCACAGCACACAGTGCCTTGTCTGCTCTTTCTCTCAGCCAAGCATCGGGTAGACCAGCGGCAAGCTTCTCCAGTCTATGAACAATGCTTGAGCCAACCTTGCCTGAGCATCGCGAAAGCGTATCCAAGTTCTCGTCCATGGGCGAGTCGGCACGTGTAGTTCGGTCATGTGATGGTGTCTGCACCATCGATGAGGATACCCATGTATGCGCTATGAAGTTTGCAAAGCTGACGACAAGTCGCTGTAGCTTTAACCACGCCTGTTTACTGAGCGTGCATTTGCGCGGCAATAATCTTGTAAGAGACGTGCCGGCAAGTTTTTCCATCTCGTACGCCCACAATCCGCCAGGTAACAGCAGTTCGAGAGATTGCGTCATCGGTGCTAGCGACGCGTACATCTTGCTCGCGGCACACGCGGTGCTCACATCGAGGGTATGCGGCGGGGGCCGGAGTTGAACAATGAGTCCAGCTCTTCCTTTGATACCGTTTCCTCCCAGATTGCGGTGTGCATCGTCGTCTGCGCTATGTTCCGCGCGGTTTGAAGGTGTGATTAATAAGGTGTAACTGCAGTAACCCTGCTCCCCGAACTCTTCTACCTCACACCCTATATATCTTTTCCGTAATACTCGTAAACATGTCTCTCTATCCTCTTCACGTAGATCAAAGCGCTTCCAAAAATCTTGAGACGTCATCGATTGTAAATAAAGATGGTAGTTGAGTCAGAAGTCGACGACGAGATCGAGCCATAGCACATGCCACATGCCGCGCAAGCCATCCCGTCTCTCATCACTTGGACGGGCTGTCGTAATCCTAAGTGCTGCTCAGAGTTAGGGTCGGATCATTTGGTGTGTCGCACTCTGTTGTGGTTCGCTGTAGTCTCGCACGTGCGTGTTGGAGTGGGAGGGAAGAGTGATAAAGCGGGGATATTTGCACTAGTATTGGTATTAGCCTATCTCCTCTCTAGCCATTCGACACACTCCAAAATCAGTAATACATAATTAAGCCTTTGTAAGTCTTGGAATGTTATTGAAAATGCCGAATAATTGTAAGCAGTAGCCATCTGAAACCTATCAATAAGCTTGGTGGACCAATAAACAAGTCATTGTAAGGCTAGTACGGTAGAGTAGTGAGCTTTAATTTCTATAGTTAATCATTTCTGGTATAGTTATACCCTTGGTACAAAGGCCTCTTGCCACATTCATATTAAAACACATACTAAAGGTTGCCACATCGGTCCCTCGTCGCCCATGGCAAGCCAGTATCCCGCGCTCTCCACGCTCCCATCCTCATCTTCAGGTACCGGCAGCTTCAGCGGTGGGTATGGGTAACGCTCGACCGACCTGTACTGCTCCCAAGGCTCTTCGCTATCTAAGCACCTCCATTTCATTCTGTGGTACGCTGCATCCTTGATCGGCGCTTCGCGTGGATGGTATAGATCTCTGCCCCAGGTCACGCGACATCCTCTTGACTTGAAATAAGCCCTTCTGGGCAGGTCCACTCTCATTTTACGCAACGACATGGTCCTGTAGAAGGCGTCGACCCAAGACAGCGCTGGACCGTTATTTATCTGGTCGCCTTGATCCTGGGACAAGATAACCAGGCATAGGGTGTGAATTTGATGGCAGTGCGTGGCAATGTTGTCGAGAATAGGCTTCAAGTGGTCCACGTTCCACATCAACTTGCCGCCGTCGTCCTGTTTACAGTGCGCCGTGATAAACACATCGAGTTTAGTGATTGACGCGAGCCGATTGGTCGGGATCAACTTGGGGAGGTGAAGGAGCAGGGACTCGCTCCGAGTGCAGATCGTATTGGTAGAGTACAGTGCATCAATGCCTTGAGTGTACGCCTGCCTGCACGACAGCAGGAACCCCATAATTCCAACGCTTTCATGGTCCCGGCACTTTGGTTTGCTTTTGTGGAAGGTTGTCGGACACTGATCGTACCAGATGCTTATGTGAAGGTGTGTCCAATATATCTGTCGCCGTACCACAGGTTCGTAGCAGACAGTACTGCTCCACTGCCAGGTTTTCTCTAGACGGTCGATGTCTACATGGAAGGTACGCCCACCAAAGGCCATGGTAAGGATTATGTTCAGTATGTCGTAGGGTAGCTTGAAGAGAAGGCATGTTGGTGTATCAAACGATACTAGTGTGATAGGACGGCGTGGTGAGGGAAGAAACGGTGGCTGGTCCGTGGATTGCTTTTTCGGGCTCGGTTTGGACCTGAAGTGTTTCTTGATCCAGTCCCTTAATTTGGCCATTGTCATGATGTTGAAAGATGGGGAACGGGAAGAGAAAAGATAAGGAGGTGGGTGCCAAGCCTATATAGCCGCAGCCAAGGCGGGTGAAGTGGGTCACATAACTATCCTGTATAATAATGACGAGTAGGGTGTGACTACTTATAGCGTACAAGGTGGCGTTTATCAAGGGGTAAGAAAGGGGGCAGCTGTTGATCCCGCTCGTTCGATAGCCTCTACAGCCTTGCAAATACTGTACAAGTTCACCATCAACGACCGCCACTAACCTCGAAAATTCATTAAATTCAGATAGATCGGCTTCTTCAGGACCTAAAGGGCAGCCAAGGAGGACTCGTTCTATGCGCAGTGTTCTTATTTTAAGTACAGTTATGCTTTAAAGTCCGACCAGGAACAATGGCAAGCCCAACTACAACTTGCCAAAAATACCAACAAATATAGCGAGCAACTTCAAGATGAATAGCCTCTGAGATCGGACCAACAGTTGCTAGAAGCCGCTAGCCATTAGGTACACCTTGTTTATACATGGTATAGTACAGAACAGCATTGAAAAGCTGCTACGTAGATGTATCCGTTTAACATATGACTAGCCCTATCCATGACACACCTTGGTTCCGGGCAAAGAACTGCTTTTACTAGAATTAGCCGTATAAGTTAGCGAGATCATTGCAGGTTTGATTAGCTGTAGCCTGTTGGAAGGCCTTGCAGTTGGAAAGCATGGGTCCGTGAGATAAAATCGGCGTGGAACTTGAGTCAGCTGTAGGTAGCACGACATATATGTACCTGGTGTGCTCTGTGAACTCAGGCTGGCCCACCATCTAGGACCTCAATCACTCGTTAAGCCACTCATTTCTCCAGCCGTTTAATCACTGGTCTATCATGCACCTCTACCCCATCTTTATTGTTGGCATTTTTCTGGCGTTCGTGGAAGGGGTTCTCGATGGCAGTATGTGAGCTCAATTCCCGAGGACCTTCACAGCCAGGCTGCCCCGGGAACTGAGGTTCTGACATGACGTTTGGTATGGGTATGCCTGAACACACTGGTCGTAATGTGAGTGTTTTTACAATCACTCACATAATATCTCAATGTACATCCTACTCACAACCATAGTTCCACCACGAAGCCGGCCACCTAACCATAGCCTCCTTGGCCCTCTCCGAACTCATGGACCTCCGCTCAATCGTCCTCGGAGTTAAGCCCCCTGCGTGTACAGTTAAAGACAAATTCACATTCTCTTATCCACAAGCAGCAGACAAAAACACCCAAGAAGAACACGACTACGTCATCACCCTCAGCAACGACATCTTAGCCTTTTCCAAAGACCAATGCATTGAATCCATGAAGAAGCTCATAAACTCGTGCGACACAAAAGATGGCCCCATAGACTAGAAGTCTGGCGGCCGCTACATCCTCGAAAACGGCGACTACAAGCACGAACTCCACCCGCGCCGCAGCAACCGTCCGTGGCCGCCTCCCCGCCTGCTTATGGCCGCTGCGAGGGCTGGTACAAGGCCTTCTTCGGTCAGTATACTGTCGAGGACGCTGGGTTTGCGACGTGGGATTATGGACAGAAGACTTTGCTGCCGAATATGAATGGGTGTTATGGATTGGGAACTACAGCGTGGAAGTTTGAGTATCGAGATAAACCTGCGGATCATGGTAGGCATGAGTGGATGGCGATGTTTAAGACGCCGATTTGGGTGAGGGCGAGGTGTTGGAATAATAATAAGATTGTCAAGGCGGTGAATGGGTGGCCGGGGGGATGTAGGGGGAACGACTAGGTAGGGGTGGTGGAAGTGTGTTGCGCGTTCTATTGGCTTTGTACTTATGTTTCGCTTTTTAATACCAAGTGCGCTTCAATTTGTGAAGGAATCTAAGAGAAATACAAATGAAAACTTATATGAGTATTACACTGACGTAGATGCTCGAGAGCTTAGCGCTTATGTTGACCTCCATTCCCATACGCATCCAAGTACCCAGGTACCGTTCGCAATGCTTTGCATCGAATCACTGTGCATATCTAGGTATCTCGCGAAATATATTACGATACCGATTGCCTCTGCTCTGAGCAGCGATTTGAGGCGTGTGAACGGTCTGTAGGGACTGTATTCCAGCTACCTAGTCCAGATGCTATTTACAGTCAAGATGAAGAAAGAAGGTAAGACGCAAGCGGCGAGCCTGCTTTGTTTGGGTTGGCGCACGGCCCTCACGTTGCCGGGGAAGCGACTAGGCTAGCAGCCTAGTCATGTGACTCGAGGCTCAGCCCGTTACATTACCCCCCTCCTTTCCCTTTAGCGCGTAGTTTTCTCCATTTCCTCCAAGCGTCAGTCTTTAGTACGTTACTCACAGGTTCCCATGTCGGTTCAGTATAGTCCACCCACTTCACATATGCCTCCTTGATTTCTTTCCCTCCCTGCCTTGTTGTGCGTTCGCCCAGAATACGTTCAACCAGCCATAGCTCGTCTCCATCTACAAGTATAGGCCCTGGCTGAGTGTCTCCAACCTTCTGCGATGGGAGAGAGTCGTTAGGCGCGTAGCGAAGCAGGTCTACGTGGAAGACAGGATGGATCTTCCCCGGAACGTCAAGTTGATAAGAGTGGGAGTTGACCTGCCTCAAGACTTTGTACTTTCCATGCAACCAGTCTAGCTTCTTGGAAGGTCGTGTTGTCTTCACGTTTCTAAGGTTCAAAAACACCCAGTCTCCCTCCTTGTATTGGGGCGCTGCTGTTCTTGTCTTGTTAGCTTGATGTTGCTGTTTCTCTTGTGTTATCGCGATCGCAGCTTGGGCCCACTCTGTTGCGTCTTGGAGTCTTTTAAGGAAGCCTTCTGCCAGTGCTTCGCCGTCTCTCTTTGGTCGGTCCTGAATAGTTCGATCCTCTACCAGCTGAATGGGTTCATTGTGATATCCGTGCATAAAATAGAAGGGGCTTAGGCCAGTAGATGAGGCCTCGCGATTGTTGATTGCTCCCATAACGATAGGTAAAAGTGCTAGCCAATTTTCTTGCGTGTAGGTGGCCCAGATTCGAATCATCTTCTCAATCTCTTGGTTCATTCGCTCTGTTGCACCATCGGTTTGCGGATGATAGGCAGTCGACAGGCGTTGCTCAACATTCATGCGACACTCCTCGGTTGCGTCTCCGTTTACACTCGGATAGTGCATGAT